TTCAAATGTCTCCGGAAGGTGGTGAGTGACTCCGGTGTCCTGGCGTCGTGAGGGAGCTTGTTCCACCATTGGGGTGCCAGAGCAGCGAACAGTTTTGACTGGGCTGAGCGGGAACTATGCTTCCGCAGAGGAAGGGGAGCCAGCAGGCCAGAGGTGGATGAACGCAATGCCCTCGTTTGGGTGTAGGGACTGTTCAGAGCATGAAGGTACAGAGGTGCCGTTCCCCTCACAGCTCCATAGGCAAGCACCATGGTCTTGTAACAGATGCGAGCTTCAACTGGAAGCCAGTGGAGTGTGCGGAGGAGCGGGGTGACGTGAGAGAACTTGGGAAGGTTGAACACCAGACGGGCTGCGGCATTCTGGATGAGTTGTAGGGGTTTAATGGCACAGGCAGGGAGCCCGGCCAACAGCGAGTTGCAGTAATCCAGACGGGAGATGACAAGTGCCTGGATTAGGACCTGTGCCGCTTCCTGTGTAAGGCAGGGTCGTACTCTCCGAATGTTGTAGAGCATGAACCTGCAGGATCGGGTCACCGCCTTGATGTTAGCGGAGAACGACAGGGTGTTGTCCAGGGTCACGCAAAGGCTCTTCGCACTCTGGGAGGAGGACACAACGGAGTTGTCAACCGTGATGGCGAGATCATGGAACGGGCAGTCCTTCCCCGGGAGGAAGAGCAGCTCCGTCTTGCCAAGGTTCAGCTTGAGGTGGTGATCCGTCATCCATACTGATATGTCTGCCAGACATGCAGAGATGCGATTCGCCACCTGGTTATCAGAAGGGGGAAAGGAGAAGATTAGTTGTGTATCGTCAGCGTAGCAATGATAGGAGAGGCCATGTGAGGATATGACAGAGCCAAGTGACTTGGTGTATAGGGAGAATAGGAGAGGGCCTAGAACTGAGCCCTGGGGGACACCAGTGGTGAGAGCACGTGGTGCGGAGACAGCTTCTCGCCACGCCACTTGGTAGGAGCGACCGGTCAGGTAGGACGCAATCCAGGAGTGAGCCGCGCCGGAGATGCCCAGCTCGGAGAGGGTGGAGAGGAGGATCTGATGGTTCACAGTATCAAAGGCAGCAGACAGGTCTAGAAGGACAAGAGCAGAGGAGAGAGAGTTAGCTTTAGCAGTGCGGAGAGCCTCCGTGACACAGAGAAGAGCAGTCTCAGTTGAATGACCAGTCCTGAAACCTGACTGGTTTGGATCAAGAAGGTCATTCTGAGAGAGATAGCAAGAGAGTTGGCTAAAGACGGCACGCTCAATAGTTTTGGAAAGAAAAGAAAGAAGGGATACTGGTCTGTAGTTGTTGACATCAGTGGGATTGAGTGTTGGTTTTTTGAGAAGGGGTGCAACTCTCGCTCTCTTGAAGACGGAAGGGACATAGCCAGCGGTCAAGGATGAGTTGATCAGCGAGGTGAGGTAGGGGAGAAGGTCACCGGAGATGGTCTGGAGAAGAGAGGAGGGGATGGGGTCAAGCGGGCAGGTTGTTGGGCGGCCTGCAGTCACAAGTCGCAAGATTTTATCTGGAGAGAGAGGGGAGAAAGAAGTCAAAGCATAGGGTAGGGCAGTGTGAGCAGGACCAGCAGTGTCATTAGACTTAACAAACGAAGATCGGATGTCGTCAACCTTCTTTTCAAAGTGGTTGACGAAGTCATCCACAGAGAGAGAGGAGGGGGGGGGGGGGGGGGGGGGGGAGGATTCAGCAGGGAGGAGAATGTGGCAAAGAGCTTCCTAGGGTTAGAGGCAGATGCTTGGAATTTAGAGTGGTAGAAAGTGGCCTTAGCAGCAGAAACAGATGAAGAAAATGTAGAGAGGAGGGAGTGAAAAGATGCCAGGTCGGCAGGGAGTATAGTTTTCTTCCATTTCCGCTCCGCTGCCCGGAGCTCTGTTCTGTGAGCTCGCAATGAGTCATCAAGCCACGGAGCTGGAGGGGAGGACCGAGCCGGCCGGGAGGATAGGGGACACAGAGAGTCAAAGGATGCAGAAAGGGAGGAGAGGAGGGTTGAGGAGGCAGAATCAGGAGATTGGAGGGAGAAGGGTTGAGCAGAGGGAAGAGATGATAGGATGGAAGAGGAGAGAGTAGTGGGAGAGAGAGAGCGAAGGTTGCGGCGGCGCATTACCATCTGTGTAGGGGCAGAGTGAGTAGTGTTGGAGGAGAGCGAGAGAGAAAAGGATACAAAGTAGTGGTCGGAGACATGGAGGGGAGTTGCAGTGAGATTAGTAGAAGAGCAGCATCTAGTAAAGATGAGGTCAAGCGTATTGCCTGCCTTGTGAGTAGGGGGGGACGGTGAGAGGGGTGAGGTCAAAAGAGGAGAGGAGTGGAAAGAAGGAGGCAGAGAGAAATGAGTCAAATGTAGACGTAGGGAGGTTGAAATCCCCCAAAACTGTGAGGGGTGAGCCATCCTCAGGAAAGGAACTTATCAAGGCGTCAAGCTCATTGATGAACTCTCCAAGGGAACCTGGAGGGCGATAGATGACAAGGATATTAAGCTTAAATGGGCTAGTGACTGTGACAGCATGGAATTCAAATGAGGAGATAGACAGATGGGTTAGGGGAAAAATTGAGAATGTCCACTTGGGAGAGATGAGGATTCCTGTGCCACCACCCCTCTGACCAGATGCTCTCGGGGTATGCGAGAACACATGGTCAGACGAGGAGAGAGCAGTAGGAGTAGCAGTGTTTTCAGTGGTAATCCATGTTTCCGTCAGCGCCAGGAAGTCGAGGGACTGGAGGGTAGCATAGGCTGGGATGAAGTCAGCCTTGTTGGCAGCAGAACGGCAGTTCCAGAGGCTGCCTGAGACCTGGAACTCCACGTGGGTGGTGCGTGCAGGGACCACCAGGTTAGAGAGGCAGCAGCCACGCGGTGTGAGGCGTTTGTGTAGCCTGTGCGGAGAGGAGAGAACAGGGATAGGCAGAGGCATAGTTGACAGGCTGCAGCAGATGGCTACAATAATGCAGAGGAGATCGGAATAAAATGAACTAAACATCTGGGAAAGGAGAGAGCCACAACTCCCAAATATAACTCTCCCAACTTCCACCTCAGAAACTATAATTGTTGTAAACTACAGCGGTTCAATGTTTTCTAGGAATAGACTAACCTAGTTTATTCAGCTAGCTAACTAGGTGCAGTATTATTCCGTGAAAACGTCCGGGCACCTCGTCATAACACACGGCACGAACACACAGAGAGAGCCAAACTAACGTTAGCTAGTCACCCATGTCCCGAATTCCTTGAGCGACTCGGGCTATCAATATGTAAAAAAACAAAACAGAAGTGTAGGTTATGACTTACCCCTAGCAGCTAGTGTTAGCTAGCCAAGTGCAAAGCTAGCCACTGAATTGACTCAGCCAGTTCGCGTCTGTTCGCTCGGTCGTTCCAGCTATTGTTTACAAGTAGCTATCCAGGTTGCAACAAGCTTGCTAATTTTCAAGCGCAGTAGCCACTTGCTACCTAACGTTAACGGTTCAGACAATGAGGTTAGAAAACAGCTGAATGGTAGGCAATTATTGTATGTGATTATTGTAGGCAGCCAGCTGGCGTAATTACAGGCACTCTCAGGCGTGAAACAACTATACCGTTGCTGATAGCTAGTTAGTTAGCTAGCTAGAATAGTTAGCAAACTAGCTAGCCATTGCTTTCAGACAAAGAAGAACCTCTCCTTTCACGGCACGAATACACAGAGAGAGCCAAACTAACGTTAACTAGTCACCCATGTCCCGAATTCCTTGAGCGACTCGGGCTATCAATATGTAAAAAAACAAAACAGAAGTGTAGGTTATGACTTACCCCTAGCAGCTAGTGTTAGCTAGCCAAGTGCAAAGCTAGCCACTGAATTGACTCAGCCAGTTCGCGTCTGTTCGCTCGGTCGTTCCAGCTATTGTTTACAAGTAGCTATCCAGGTTGCAACAAGCTTGCTAATTTTCAAGCGCAGTAGCCACTTGCTACCTAACGTTAACGGTTCAGACAATGAGGTTAGAAAACAGCTGAATGGTAGGCAATTATTGTATGTAATTATTGTAGGCAGCAAGCTGGCGTAATTATAGGCACTCTCAGGCGTGAAACAACTATACCGTTGCTAATAGCTACTCGCCAGCTAGTCCAGGTGGTGAGTTAGCTAGCTAGCTAGCTTCGTGCTACACCCGGCACCGCCGAATACAATACTTAACCTACAATAATTACATACAATAACTACCTACAACAACCCACGATACCTACCTACAATACCTAACTACAATCAAAATACATAGTTTTAAGCCTTACTCGACAAAGCCAAGCTATGTATAAAGCCAAGCTTACCCGACGACCTCCTCCTCCTCTATATAAGGAGGAGGTTGTCTCCTTGTGATAATACTGCATTTCTCCTGACCAATATCTATTTCTTGCCTTCTCAAAGGACTCAATTTTCCCCCTCCTTTCCCTTCTGGTCTACTCTATCCTCTGCCTCACAGTCCACAATGACCTCTTTATTGCTCCCTCCGGCGTCTATTCTATCCTCTGGACTTGTGTCGACATCTTGACCTGCGTCTTCCATCGGAAAAAATGTGGTCCGCCACATAGTCCCCAATCGCCCGACGTCATCCCTGATTCAAATTCCAGTTTCGTTTGAGTTTGCGCTCTCTCCCTCCATGAACCAATTGTCACTGCTCTTGATCCTCCCATTTCTTAAACCTATTGCTCCCAATCCTCACACTTCTCTCGACACGCCCATTATGAGTCACTCCAGCGAGGCAGCCACCTACGATTCAGCGCGAGGGCTGAGGGGGTAAAAGTAACGCGATTGGACGGCTGCTTCTGACTCTTGTCGCGTTGACGTACTAGTCGGAACTACGAAACTCGGTCATTTCAGACCTGCTAACTGGTTGTAGTTGTACACGTGACGCGTTCAACGAATCAGCAAGTCAGATATTTCCGAATTTCTTAGTTCCGACTACCATATGAACGCGGCATCTATGGATTTTTCTGTTAATTTGCGGGCGGGCATAGCGGGTTGGCCTATTGGTCACATGACACATATCTACAATTTATCACGTGACGTGTATGAGGAAATATCGCAGCCAAAGAGGAGAAAGGTGGATGTTCTACACATTTTGATTGATATCCGCCAAAATCGTCGAAAATGAGTGCTAGTTTGGACATCAGACTGAAAAGAGCAAATAAAGTATATCATGAGGGGGTAAGGGTCAATTTGCCTAAATCTACATCGTGAGATATACAGTATAGCTATCGATGCTAACAAACTGTAAGAAGAGCAGACATTTTTTCAGGCTTGTTTGGGTAGAAAGCTGTCATTCCAAATGGAATAGCTTGTACACGTGCATCAGTGACAGGTGATACAGTGAAGTGTCATATAAGTAGATAACCACGTGTATTTTAACCTCTTCTACCCACGACATGTTCTGTTAATAGCTCGTGTTGACCATTATGTTATACTCCAAACTTCACAATACAGTGGCTAGGTTAACCGTGAGTTAGATTACTGTATTTCGTACCTCTGGCAACTTGGCAAGTCGTGTGCATGAGAATTGTTTTGCTTGCTTCTTGCTACAGAGCAATCTTTCGTGTGTGTGTGTGTGTGTGGTGAAGAGATGATAATGATTATTTTGACTGATCAGTAGTTATCCATTTCTTCAATGTGTAAGATTTCTACTGCCGTCTAGTGGATGTCCTGCGTTGTCGAACATGAGTTATCTATGACGATGACATACAGGTAACTGCCAAAATAAAGGAAACACTTGAATAAAAGAGCGATAGGAAGTATATTGAAAGCAGGTGCTTCCATACAGGTGTGGTATCAAAGTTAAGTAAGCAATTAACAACCCATCATCGTGTGTGTGTGTGTGAGAGTCACCAGATCTCAACCCAATTGAACACTTAAGGGAGATTCTGGAGCAGAGGCAGTGTTTTCCACCACCATCAACAAAACACCAAATGATGGAATGTTTTGTGGAAGAATGGTGTCGCATCCCTCCAATAGAGCTCCAGACACTTGTAGAATCTATGCCAAGGCGCATTGAAGACACTTTGCAGGTGTTTCCTTTATTTTGGCAGTTACCTGTATCATCTCACCAAATACCCCCTCTGGTCATAGTACAGCTTTATAAACACCCTAAACACCACAGTGTGATACTTAGCCACATTTCACATTTGTAATATCATTTCTGGTTTATCATGTCAGGAGGTCCTTGCCGGTGTTGTGGCGATAGTGAGTAAGGAGGCGGTCCAGCACCAGGGCATCACTCTCACCATGGAGGGCATTGTCAACCTACAGCTTAGCTCCAAGAGTGTGGGAGTCTTTGAGGCTTTCTACAACTCTGTCAAGGTGAGAGTCCAACAGTATTTCCAAGCCCAAGGATCACCACACGTTGAATGCCTCTTTAACATTTTTAGATTAGAATGTTATTGTCATGGACTGTTTAGTGCCAACATGGAGGATAGATAGCTTGCCTAGGTCTGTATATCAATGGCTCTGATGTCACAGATTGTTCTCTCCCCTCTTTCTGTAACAGCCCATTCAACTTATCACAAGCAACATTGAAGTGGTAAAGCAAGGGAAGGTGCCTGGAGGCAAGACAGAGATTCCCTTTGAGTTCCCCCTGCACACAAAGGGCAACAAAGTGCTGTATGAGACCTACCATGGTGTTTTCGTCAACATTCAGGTAATGACCACAGAGCTGGGGCCTGCCCTGCACTTTGCAGATGGCTGTCTCCTGTGTTTTCAGACTATGACCTAGATTCTTCTCCATGTCAGACAAGGGCCAGACCAGCCAGAGAACCATACTATACCTCCCAAAGCAGATATTTCAGTGTCCAAAATTGATTGTGTATTCATTTAGTCTATTTTGGGGTCAGACCTGCTTCAGCCTGTGCTATTTCTGAGGACTGTTTAAAAGATCCCTTTTATTGTCATGTCATCTAAAAAATAAAATGTAAACCCCTCTGTATCTGTAGCTAATGAGGTGTAATGATAGAGACAGAGAGGCACAGATTGACATTTCCTGTGTTTCAGTCGGTTGTCATCTCAAGGAAACTGAAAAAACTAAAAACTAAAGGGAAGTTTGCTTAAAAAAACATGTTTTCATCACTGCAGATGTATAGGCCTAAGCAATGAGATAATGTTATTAGCAGATGCTGAAAGGTCATTTTCCAGCAATCTTACATTTTGCTGGAGTAAAAATAATGGGACATTCTGTAGTTGCCGAGGCATTTTTTTGTCCCCTGAATCAGTCAAGCTTCAGAAAGGAGCTAGACGTATTCTCTGTCTGCTAAATTGATGAGATGTAGACCAACATTTGAATAGCCTAATGCTTGAGCATTAAACCTTTGGAAAACAATGCTCTAATAGGCTACATCTTCTTGTATTCATAGGCTTTGTTTTTGTCCAATAAGAATGTTTACCCTTGAAAACCTAAAGTTGTGTGTCTTCTGAAACAGCACTATCTAGTAGATTAGGTATTTTTTTATTGCTTTCCAGAATAAGCAAGGCATTCAAAGGACAGAGGGTAGGCTCTGTACTGCATCTAATATTAGACTTAAAATTCAGATAGTACTGATGAGGAACCTCATAGGGGGTGACTTGTCAGTCTCAATTCTACTACTGGAAAAGGTATCCAGCTTTATTTTAAGGCAGGCTTCTAACAATCACTCTGCCTGTTTCTCCTGACAAAATCATGTAAGAAAAAGTATTTGTATCCACAAAAGCCTTGTTACTAATGTTAATAATTGTATGGTGTTTATGATCTCAGTACACCCTCCGTTGTGACATGAAGCGCTCCTTGTTGGCCAAAGACCTGAGTAAGACCTGTGAATTCATGGTGCACTGTCTGGTGAGATCAACCATCATCCTGATTCAGACCACTATCTCATCTCTTCTGATACCATACAAACACACCACCTTAACATGATCTGACATTGCTTGATTTTAAGTTTCATGTAGCTACAGTAAGAAACAGCCCTGTAGATTCTCATACTTTTCTTCAATATACAGTGGGGGAAAAAAGTCAGCCACCAATTGTGCAAGTTCTCCCACTTAAAAAGATGAGAGAGGCCTGTAATTTTCATCATAGGTACACGTCAACTGACAGACAAATTGAGAAAAAAAATCTGAATCTGCAATAGGTAAGCAGCTTGGTTTGAAGAAATCAACTGTGGGAGCAATTATTAGGAAATGGAAGACATACAAGACCACTGATAATCTCCCTCGATCTGGGGCTCCACGCAAGATCTCACCCCGTGGGGTCAAAATGATCAGAAGAACGGTGAGCAAAAATCCCAGAACCACACGGGGGGACCTAGTGAATGACCTGCAGAGAGCTGGGACCAAAGTAACAAAGCCTACCATCAGTAACACACTATGCCGCCAGGGACTCAAATCCTGCAGTGCCAGACGTGTCCCCCTGCTTAAGCCAGTACATGTCCAGGCCTGTCTGAAGTTTGCTAGAGTGCATTTGGATGATCCAGAAGAGGATTGGGAGAATGTCAGATGAAACCAAAATATAACTTTTTGGTAAAAACTCAACTCGTCGTGTTTGGAGGACAAAGAATGCTGAGTTGCATCCAAAGAACACCATACCTACTGTGAAGCATGGGGGTGGAAACATCATGCTTTGGGGCTGTTTTTCTGCAAAGGGACCAGGACGACTGATCCGTGTAAAGGAAAGAATGAATGGGGCCATGTATCGTGAGATTTTGAGTGAAAACCTCCTTCCATCAGCAAGGGCATTGAAGATGAAACGTGGCTGGGTCTTTCAGCATGACAATGATCCCAAACACACCGCCTGGGCAACGAAGGAGTGGCTTCGTAAGAAGCATTTCAAGGTCCTGGAGTGGCCTAGCCAGTCTCCAGATCTCAACCCCATAGAAAATCTTTGGAGGGAGTTGAAAGTCTGTGTTGCCCAGCGACAGCCCCAAAACATCACTGCTCTAGAGGAGACCTGCATGGAGGAATGGGCCAAAATACCAGCAACAGTGTGTGAAAACCTTGTGAAGACTTACAGAAAACGTTTGACCTGTGTCATTGCCAACAAAGGGTATATAACAAAGTATTGAGAAACTTTTGTTATTGACCAAATACTTATTTTCCACCATAATTTGCTAATAAATTCATTAAAAATCCTACAATGTGATTTTCTGGATTTTTTTTCTTCTCATTTTGTCTGTCATAGTTGACGTGTACCTATGTTGAAAATTACAGGCCTCTCTCATCTTTTTAAGTGGGAGAACTTGCACAATTGGTGGCTGACTAAATACTTTTTTCCCCCACTGTAGATGCAGTTACAAGTGAAGTGATGTTGTAATCTGTAGTTACACAATATGACATCATACATGATTTCTAGGGGACTGTCCCTTCTCTGGGGCCATGGAGACCATTTGCTCATGCTTAGACTGTCTCCTTTCTCTACTCTCAGCCACAGAAAGCCAAGCTGCAACCCACCCCGGTGGAATTCACCATCACGCCAGAGACCCTGCAGAATGTCCGCGAGGTACAGCAGGCCTGTCGGAATATGACCAAAAACCTACAAAATGTTCAATGACATTTAATCTACACTGACCAAAAGTATGTGGACACCTGCTCATTGACCATCTCATTCCAAAATCATGGGCATTAATATGGAGTTGGTCCCCCCTTTTGCTGCTATAACAGCCTCCACTCTTCAGGGAAGGCTTTCCACTAGATGTTGGAAAATTACTGCGGGGACTTGCTTCCATTCCGCCACGAGCATTAGTGAGGTCGGGCACTGATGTTGGACGATTAGGCCTGGCTCGCAATAGTCAGCATTCCAATTCATCCCAAAGGTGTTCGGTGGGGTTGAGGTCAGGGCTCTGTGCAGGCCAGTCAAATTCTTCCACATCGATCTCCACAAACCATTTCTGTATGGACCTCACTTTGTGCACGGGGGCATTGTCATTCTGAAACAGGAAAGGGCCTTCCCCAAACTGTTGCCACAAAGTTGGAAGCACAGAATCATCTAGAATGTCATTGTATGCTGTAGCGTTAAGATTTCCCTTCACTGGAACTAAGGGGCCTAGCCTGAACCATGAAAAACAGCCCCAGACTATTATTCCTCTTCCACCAAACTTTACAGTTGGCACTATGCATTCAGGCAGGTAGCGTTCTCCTGGAATCTGCCAAACCCAGAATCGTCCGTCGGACTGCCAGATGGTGAAGCGTGATTAATCACTCCAGAGAACGCGTTTCCACTGCTCCAGAGTCCAATGGCGGCGAGCTTTACACCACTCCAGCCGACGCTTGGCATTGCGCATGGTGATCTTAGGTTTGTGTGCGGCTGCTCGGCCATGGAAACCCATTTCATGAAGTTCCCGACAAACAGTTGTTGTGCTGATGTTGCTTCCAGAGGCAGTTTGGAACACGCTAGTGAGTGTTGCAACCGAGGACATACTATTTTTTACACGCTTCAGCACTCAACGGTCCTGTTCTGTGAGCTTATGGCCTAACACTTCATGGCTGAGCCGTTGTTGTAGACGTTTCCATTTCACAATAACAGCACTTACAGTTGACCGGGGCAGCTCTAGCAGGGCAGAAATTTGACGAACTGACTTGTTGGAAAGGTGGCATCCTATGATGGTGCCATGTTGAAAGTCACTGAGCCTTCAGTAAGGCCATTCTACTGCCAATGTTTAACTATGGAGATTGCATGGCTGTGTGCTCGATTTTATACACCTGTCAGCAACAGGTGTGGCAGAAATAGCTGAATCCACTCATTTGAAGGTGTGTCCACATACTTTTGTGTATATATAGTGTACCTTTGGCATTCTAGATGTTGGTTTCCTGGGTCTTAATCGGTCTACTCAGTCATTGATCAAAATTGATTTGAGGGAAACCAGCAGACACCGCAGCAGGAATGTTCAGACCGTTAACATCATCCCATTTTTGTATTACTCACCATCGTCTCCCTCAGAGGAGTTTGCTGCCCAAGTTCCTGATCCGGGGCCACCTGGACGCCACGAACTGTGTGATCACTCAGCCCCTGACTGGAGAACTGGTGGTGGAGAGCTCTGATGTCGCCATCAAGAGCATCGAGCTGCAGCTGGTCCGTGTAGAGACCTGCGGTGAGTCTGACGCTACTTAACCCATCGACACTGAACAAAAATATAAACGCAACAATTTCAAATATTTTACTGAGTTGCAGTTCATATAAGGATATCAGTCAATTGAAATAAATTAATTAGGCCCTAATCAATGGATTTCACATGACTGGGAATACAAAGTAGGGGCGTGGATCAGAAAACAAGTCAGTATCTGGTGTGACCACCATTTGCCTCATGCAGCGTGACACATCTCCTTCGCATAGAGTTGATCAGGCTGTTGATTTTGGCCTGAGGAATGTTGTCCCACTTCTCTTCAATGGCTGTGCGAAGTTGCTGGATATTGGCGGGAACTGGAACACGCACGTCGATCCAGAGCATCCTAAACATGCTCAATGGGTGACATGTCGGGTGAGTATGCAGGCCATGGAAGAACTGGGACATTTTCAGCTTCCAGGAATTGTGTACAGATCCTTGCAACATGGGGCCGTACATTATCATGCTGAAACAACATGAGGTGATGGTACGACAATGGGCCTCAGGATCTCGTCATGGTATCTCTGTGCATTCAAATTGCCATCGAGAAAATGCATTTGTTTTCGTTGTCCGTAGCTTATGCCTGCCAATACCATAACCCCAGCGCCACCATGGGGCACTCTGTTCACAACGTTGACATCAGAAACCACTCGCCCACACGACGCCATACACGCTGTCTGCCATTTTCACGGTACAGCTGAAACCGGGATTCATCCGTGAAAAGCACACTTCTCCAGCGTGCCAGTGGCCATCGAAGGTGAGCATTTGCCCACTGCAGTCAGGTCAAGACCATGGTGAGGGTGATGAGCACGCAGATGAGCTTCCCTGAGATGTTTTCTGACAGTTTGTGCAGAAATTATTCGGTTGTGCAAACCCACAGTTTCATCAGCTGTCCGGGTGGCTGGTCTCAAACGATCCTGCAGGTGAAGAAGCTGGATATGGAGGTCCTGGACTGGCGTGGTTACACATGGTCTTTGGTTGTGAGGCCAGTTGGATATACTGCTAAATAATCTAAAATGACGTTGGTAGAGAAATGAACATGAAATTCTCTGGCAACAGCTCTGGTGGACATTCCTGCAGTCAGCATGTCAATTGCACACTCCCTCAACTTGAGACATCTGTGGCATTGTGTTGTGTGACAAAACTGCCCATTTTAGAGAGTGGCCTTTTGTCTCCAGCACAAGGTGCACTTGTGTAATGATCATGCTGTTTAATCAGCTTCTTGATATGCCACACATGTCCGGTGGATGGATTAACTTGGTAAAGGATAAATGCTCACTAACAGGGATGTATACAACATTTGAGAAATAAGCTTTTTGTGCGTATGGAAATGTCTGGGATTTTGTATTTCAGTTTATGAAACATGGAACCAACATTTTTCCATGTTGCTTTTATATTTTTGTTCAGTATATTTAGAGGGCAGGCCCTGGTAGAATACTTTTAACAATGCATCCTTCAAGGGAATCGTTCATCTGAACTGTACGTGGTTGAATGAAAGTAAGATTCCCATTACTTTGCTTTCTCCAATCCAGATTAGTGTCTAAAGTGTTTGAACAGGCTCTAGTTGGTGTTAAAAGGGCACTGTTTTCCAAACAGACCCCTACCCACTCCTATAGAAGTTTAATAGCGTTTCTCCATCCGTGCCAGGCTGTGCTGAGGGCTATGCCAGAGATGCCACAGAGATCCAGAACATCCAGATAGCAGAGGGAGACGTCTGCCACAGCCTGCCCATCCCCATCTACATGGTCTTCCCTAGGCTCTTTACCTGCCCTACCCTTGAGACTATCAACTTTAAAATCGGTGAGGTAACCTGTAATAAATACAATTCAAATAGTGCAACAGTTGAGTGGTTTACTGATGACTGACGGGTGCGATTCTTTGTTCCTCTGTAGAGTTTGAGGTGAACGTGGTGATTGTCCTCCATGACGAACATCTGATCACAGAGAACTTTCCTCTGAAGCTGTGCCGAGCATGAGAGCCCAGAGGTCCACTGCAATCTGGAGGATAGTCAGGCATGCCTTTGACATGCCTGGGCAAGACCGACCTGAAGTGACCTGTTGGCTGGGCATCCCTGTTCTGAATCAATGACACGGTCTATAAGTGCATGATGTTATATGGATGTATGTCTACAGTTCAGAAAACAAGACTGAAAAAGCAGAGGATGTTCAAGATTATGGGCTACCTTTCAATATAATAGTGCAAATGTCAAAATGGACCAAGTAACTTAATTGTGTAACAAATCATGACATTGTTGAAGCTGCATTGTTGCATTTCAGAAGGTTTTTGGAGACACTGCCCACCATTAGCAGTAATATGGTAATTTTCTAACAGAATGAATGTTGGCACTAGCCCAAATAACATTCTAAAATGGAGGCATTTCAAACTAACAAGAAGGTATACAAAAGCAACCAAGTTATTAAATGCATTTTAACATTCCAGTTATGTTGTCATGGAAATTATGTGTATTGGCTTAACCCCAAAGAGCATGCCAAAAGGACCTATTGTCCCAACAGCAGATTAAATTAATCTTCACTGTAAGCCTTAAATAAGAGATTTTAGGTAGCTACTTACATCACACAATTCACAGATTTTTTTTTTGTTGCAAAGTGGAAACCAACAGTTTACGATCTTCAGTTGAGTGGTCTACTCTCTTGTGGACAGACTACATAAACAAATGCATCTGATCAAATTACGTGAGATTTTAGTTCTGGTTTACCCGAGATTAAGTGATACACTACATGACCAAAAGTATGTATTTATTATGGATCCCCATTAGCTGCTGCCAAGGCATCAGCTACTCTTCCTGGGGTCTGGCAAAATTAAGGCAGTTCTACAATTTTTAAAACATTACAATACATTCCATAACAGATTTCACAACACACTAAGTGGACACCTACTTGTTGAACATTTCATTCCAAAATCATGGCCACTAATATGGAGTTGGTCCCCCCTTTGCTGCTATAACAGCCTCCACTCTTCTGGGAAGGCGTTCCGCTAGATGTTGGGTCTTGCTTCCATTCATCCACAAGAGCATTAGTGAGGTCGGGCACGGATGTTGGGCGATTAGGTCTGGCTTGCAATCGGCGTTCCAATTCATCCCAAAGGTGTTTGATGGGGTTGAGTTCAGGCCAATCAAGTTCTTCCACACCATCCTCAACAAACCATTTCTGTATGGACCTCACTTTGTGCACGGGGGCATTGTCATGCTGAAACAGAAAAGGGCCTTCCCCAAACTTGCCACAAAGTTGGAAACACAGAATCGTCTAGAATGTCATTGTAGGTCCTCCTGTAGCTCAGTTGGTAGTGCATGACGCTTGCAACGCCAGGGTTGTGGGTTCGATTCCCACGGGTGGCCAGTATGAAAAATGTATGCACTCACTAACTGTAAGTCGCTCTGGATAAGAGCGTCTGCTAAATTACTAAAAATGTAAAAAAAATGGTATGCTGTAGCGTTGAGTACCCTTTACTAGAATTATGGGGCCTATCCCAAACCATAAAAAACTGCCCCAGACCATTATTCCTCCTCCACCAAACTTTGCAGTTGGCACTATGCATTGGGGCAGGTAGCATTCTTCTGGCATCTGCCAAACCCAGATTCGTCCGTCGGACTACCATCACTCCAGAGAACGCGTTTCCACTGCTCCAAATGCAGCGAGCTTGGCATTGCGTATGGTGATCTTAGGCTTGTGTGCAGCCATGGAAACCCATTTCATGAAGCTCCCGACAAACAGTTATTGTTGGGAGGCCGGCAGGTAGCTTAGTGGTTAAAGAGCGTTGTGCCAGTAACTGAAAGGTCACTGGTTCTAATCCCGAGCCGACTAGGTGAAAAATCTGTCGATGTGCCCTTGAGCAAGGCACTTAACCCTAATTGCTCCTGTAAGTCGCTCTGGATAAGAGCGTCTGCTAAATGACTAAAATGTAAATTGTGCCGACGTTGCTTCCAGAGGCAGTTTGGAACTTGGTAGTGAGTGTTGCAACCCAAGACAGATGATTTTTATGCCACTTCGCGGCTAGGCAGTTGTTGCTGCTAGACGTTTCCACTTCACAATAACAGCACTTACAGTTGACCGGGGCAGGGGCAGAGATTAGCAGGGCAGAGATTTGACAAACTGACTTGTTGGAAAGGTCGAAGCCTATAACAGTGTCACGTTGAAAGTCACTGAGCTCTTCAATAAGGCCATGCTACTGCTAATGTTTGTCTATGGAGATTGCATGGCGATGTGCTCGATTTTATACACCTGTCAGCAACGGGTGTGGCTGAAACAACCAAATCCACTAATTTGAAGGGATGTCCACATACTTGTGTGTGTATATATATATATATATATATATATATAGTGTACCTGACTTCACAGTCCATGAACAGAAGGAATCACATGCTTTTTATCTGGTAGGGAACAGTTGTAGGGGTCTCGTTAAAAACAAACTGAAAGCCATGAGTTTGGTTAAAACAGATCTTAGGGAAAAGGGAAGACTTGACATTGCAACAGATGAGACAGCAGTTGTTTTCTCAGGAAAATCCTTCAGGCCATGACTGACTGCTTCCAACTACAAACAGCATAACATTTGAAATCAACAAGTCTGCCAGATATTTTAATTAAAATAGTTATCTTAAAATGAATCATACAAACATTTGGCAAATGTTTTTAAAATTGCAGTGACAAAGTTGGTTTTCTATCCTCCAGTTCCAACTTTTCAAACAGCTTCACACAAAGTAACTGCCAATCAAACTTTATTACACCAGGCACAAGAGCCTTAAGACTTAAGAATTAGCTGAACCCATAACCAAACTTAATGTAAAAAAAATAATAATAATTGCGACCAACTAAACAATTCCTTACAGAAGAATGTGTCTAATGACAACAGCGCTGTGATGAATGCTTATGAACAGATTTAACAGTCAAACATTGTCTAAGGCAAACATGGAAGTCTACACACTTCAGCATTATAATGGCTGATACGATAGAAGCTAAATAAAAAAGCTAAAACATTCCTTGCATGATACAGTATAAACCAATAGAATATATAATCATAGTAGGGAGCCAGATGGATAACTGGTTAATCACACTTTACTTTGGTCCAATTTATTTCTCTCCACATGCACATTTGACAGAAGCCTTTATTATAGAATGGAGCAGTTGACCATATAATGGGAAACAATTTGTGTTTGGAGTTTAGGTATTGGACATAAGGGAGGGTTAGGGGTTCAGGGTAGGTAGCTGGGGGTGTTTAAGAGAAGGCAGCAGGCGTGTGGCCCCTGCGTATTCTGCCGGGCAGCAGAGGGAAGTCCTCGGGCAGGAGAGCATGCTCTCTGCAGGTGGGACAGGTGCTCTGCTCCTTCAGCCACGACTTAATACACTAGAGAGAGAAGGGGAGAGGAAATTAGACTGACCATCAAACCAATCCCGAGTGAAAGAACAGGAATTCCCAGTTCCTGTGTCCTACTAGCCCTAAATAACCACAGGGCCATAGACGAAAGCGCTGGGCAAACTCAGTTGCAGACTACTTATGGGTGTGATGGAAGTGGCCTTACCTCTGTGTGGAAGCTATGTCTGCACTCCAGCACACACAAGTCCTCCTGGGACATGTCATCATGGCAGATGATACAGGGATCCTCCATGTTCAACTGTACAAGATGCACATACACCAATCAAAAGTATTGTAGTACACAACAGCAAACCCTACCATTAATACACTATATTTAGGCTTCGACTTGAGTTTGACCTCTTCTGCATCTGTACATTCATGTTATTGTCTGACCAGGAGCGTCGAGCCCTGCTGTGATTACTGTGTGTGACTGAGTCAGTGTGTGAAGTGCGAGCTGAACTCACCGCCTTCGACTTGGAGTGTCCTTGGGCACCCACGCTCTTCCAGACGTGGGGTCCGGTGGAGTGGACGGAGCCTGGTGAGTCGGAGCGCGAAGGGGTCCCAGCAGTGTCACCTCTACCTGCACTGCTCAGCTGCTCCTGGACACACACACACACACACACACCACAGGTGTTACAGTTCATATGGAAGCCAACAGTTGTGGGCATATTCTAACCTAGGAGTAAATGTGAATGAGGACATCATCCATTTTCAATTGACGCTACCATTCAAGATACTTGGATTGAGATCCCTTGTAGTTCCCACGGGGGGCCAGTATGAAAAAAATAAATAAAAAAATAATGTAAGTCGCTCTGGATAAGAGCGTCTGCTAAATGACTAAAATGTAAATGTATAATAATAATAATAATAATAATAATAAGCCATTTAGCAGACGCTTTTATCCAAAGCGACTTACAGTCATGCGTGCATACATTTTTGTGTATGGGTGGTCCCGGGGATCGAACCCACTACCTTGGCGTTACAAGCGCCGTGCTCTACCAGCTGAGCTACAGAGGACCACGTACATCTTGATAAAGATCATCCCTGATAGAGGGGACACAGATCTAGAGCAAGTATGAAGACATTTGCCAACAGGTGTAGTATGGTCCTAGTCCTTGGTGCAGGTTACTTTGGGGATCTTACCCTGGTGGAGTCCTGGTGGTCCAGGATAAGCTGGGCCACTCTGTTGATGACCTCCTGGTAGGACAGGGAGTTCAGGCAGCCTCTGTTGGCCGTGCGCATCTCCCCAATGAACTTGGACAGCACAGGCCTGAAATGTCAAACCAGTATTGAATACTAGAGCGCTCATACACCCATCATACCCATTTGTGTGTGCGCGTGTCTGTTACCTGCTATAGTGAGGGAACATGACGTTGAGCCGGTCTACGATTCTATCGTACACATTGGTGGGCTGTGGGGCCTGTGGCCTGGAAGCCTGGTTCTGCTGAGGTGGCCTCGTGATAGGATGGTTAGTGGTAGCACTAGTTGGAGCTCCAGCCATACTGGAGGGCAGTGCAACATTCTGAGCCATGGCTGGGGCCGGAGGGGCTCTAGGCAACCCCGGGTGACCATAGAGGGGGACTCTTATGTGCACTGGGTGGCAAGGGAGCTGCTGGTGAACCTGGGGTGGGAACAGCATCTGAGATAGAGTGGGAGCCGGTTAATAAGACAACTTGACAGAGAATACGACGGAAATGTTCCGAAACACCTTGACAAACTGACATATAATATAGAAAGTTAACATTTTACATTTACATTTTAGTCATTTAGCAGACGCTCTTATCCAGAGCGACTTACAGTTAGTGAATACATATTTTTTTTTATACTGGCCCCCCGTGGGAATCGAACCCACAACCCTGGTGTTGCTCTGGCCCCAGGGACCCTCTGATGGGGAAGTGGAGCCCCAGAACATGTTAAGGTTTGTGCTGTTCCTAGCTAGCTCTCTAAGTCTTTTTCAAGCAACATTGAATAGATTGTGGCCTGCCCCAAATAAAAGCAACATCTCTCCCCTTCCTTGACAGAGCTGCTCTGCCTCCTCTAGCTAGCTACCTGCTCTGGCCCCAGGGACCCTCTGATGGGGAAGTGGAGCCCCAGAACATGTTCTGCCTGCTGTGTGAAGCCTGCACTGTATCTCAAGCCTGGCGCCACTAGGGGAAAGCTCAGGCCCGGGGGAGGGCCAATGGAGGGGACGGGGTAGGGGAGGCAGAGGGGTACCAGGGATGGGTCTTCCTCTGGGACAGAGCAGATCTGGGAGAAGCAGGGGGGGGGTCACACCACACACAGGCCTCACTCATTTGACAAACAACTTCAAGGTATAGGCTGAGAATAGCCAATGCCGTTTCAAAGCAAGTCGCTAGGTCACAATAGCCCTCTTACAATTGTATTAAATAAACCCATGACATAGGATGCTGAGCTAACTAACATGCCATTTTCGTCAGAATGGACAACAAAATAAAGACATCAGCAAATGTAAACCTTTGCTAAACTTAAAGTAGGCCCGGTTATGCTGCATCTTACCGGTACAGGTGGGGGCCGGGGGGCGCTGGGGACTGCAACTGGGGGCAGAGTGCACAGCCTGGTCCCCCTCTTCACCTGTTCTATCTGATCCTGGTACTGTGCCTGTGGAGGAGGACAACAAAGCTGTCACACACACACACCCGGACCAGCCTTCACAAAAGCCTGTGCACCTTATGTCCAATTTCTGGTCCAAGGTCTTTTGTAATAGTCACATTGGAAATGGCATCCCAATAGTTGAATCAGTGTTTGTTAGTATTGTTCTTTTGTACCTCAGTTGAGTGGATTTTCTCCTCTGCTTCTTGAACACATGCTATCCAAGCATCTGTGGCTGACTGGAGAATTTGGGAAGGGAATCTGAGGAGGATGAATGAGATAAGATATTGAAACTGCTAAACTGGTTCTGGTGACAGCATGCAATTGAATCTATGGGGCCTCAGTCTGCCCTGTGGTTAGTGTTACCAACACCTACCTGGGAGCCACTTCCTTGAGTTTGGCCAGGATGGCCCTGGCATCAGACAGAGACCTGTAGAGGCAGCGCAGTCCGCGGCTACGCCGGTTCTCCAATTTAGACAGCTAGGGAACAGGAAGTCAGTCAGTTGGGAAAGAATGTTAGCGCACCAATGGTATGAGAAACACTCACTACCCACGCTAACAGACACCTCTGCCTAAGAATTCTGAGGAACATGCAAGTATCTTAACATACACATTCAACCCACATACCTCTGCTCCCCGAGACCTCCTAGTTGCCTTGGCACACAGGTCTCTGCACCGCTTGATCTCATCCTCCAGGCTCATCTTCTCAGCAGCTGACTGGTTACTGTGGGAAAGAATCACTGCACATTTAGCACACCAGCAGCACAATGCTCAGAAGAGTTAATGCCACTCATTAGGATGCATGTGAAACCACTGCAGGTGTTGTGATGCTGCTGTGTGTTTAAAAACATAACATGCCTCAGCACCAGGAAATTATTCAGCTGTGTCTCATACTCCTTGTTCTTCTCGTGGATGTTCTTAGAAATGCTGTGGAAGATAAAAACAAAATGAACCAAAAAAATTGAATCAAAGTTTTCGTCACTCACACCTACACTACCAGTCAAAAGTTTGGACACCCTTACCCATTCAAGGGGTTTTCTTTATTTTTACATTGTAGAATAATAGATAAGACACCAAAACTATGAAATAACACATAAGGAATCATGTAGTAACCCAAAAAGTGGTAAAAAAAAAAGTATATTTTATAGTTGAAATTCTTCTAAGTAGTCACCCTTTGCCTTGATGACAGCTTTGCATACGCTTGGCATTCTCTCAACCAGCTTCATGAGGTAGTCACCTGGAATGCATTTCAATTAACAGGTGTACCTTCTTAAAGTTAATTTGTGGAATTTCTTTCCTTCTTAATGCATTTGAGCCAATCAGTTGTGTTGTGACAAAGTAGGGGGGTATACAGAAGATGGTATTTTACCAAATAGGGCTAAGTCCATATTTTGGCAAGAACAGCTCAAATAAGCAAAGAGAAACGAAAGTCCATCATTACTTTAAGACATGAAGGTCAGTCAATACGCAACATTTCAAGAACTTTGAAAAAGTTTCAAGTGCAGTCGCAAAAACCATAAAGCGCTATGATGAAACTGGCTCTCATGAGGACCGCCACAGGACTGGAAGACCCAGAGTTACCTCTGCTGCAGAGAATAAGTTCATTAGAGTTACCAGCCTCAGAAATTGCAGCCCAAATAAATGCTTCACAGAGTTCAAGTAACAGACACATCTCAACATCAACTGTTCAGAGGAGACTGTATGAATCAGGCGTTCATGGTCAGATTGCTGCAAAGAAACCGCTACTAAAGGTCACCAATAAGAAGAGGAGACCTGCTTCGGCCAGGAAACATGAGCAATGGACATTAGACCGGTGGAAATGTCCAAATTTGAGATTTTTGGTTCAAACTGCCGTGTCTTTGTGAGACGCGGTGTGGTGAACGGATTATCTCTGCATGTGTAGTCCCCACCGCAAAGCATGGAGGAGGTGGTATTATGGTGTGGGGGTGCTTTGCTGGTGATACTATGATTTATTTAGAATTCAAGGCACACTTAACCAGCATGGCTACCACAGCATTCTGCAGCGATACGCCATCCCATCTAGTTTGGTCTTATCATTTGTTTTTCAACAGGACAATGACCCAACACACCTCCAGACTGTGTAAGGGCTATTTGACCACGAAGGAGAGTGATGGAGTGCTGCATCAGATGACCTGGCCTCCACAATCCCCCCACCTCAACCCAATTGAGATGGTTTGGGATGAGTCGGACGGCAGAGTGAAGGAAAAGCAGCCAAAAAGTGCTCAAAATGTGGGAACTCCTTCAAGACTGTTGGAAAAGCATTCCAGGTAAAGCTGGTTGAGAGAATGCCAAGAGTGTGCAAAGCTGTCATCAAGGCAAAGAGCGGCTATTTGAAGAATCTCAAATATAAAATATATTTTGATTTGTTTAACACTTTTTTGGTTACTACATGATTCCATGATGTGTTATTTCATAATTTTGATGTCTTCACTATTATTCTACAATGTAAAAAATAGTAAAAATAAAGAAAAACCCATCAATGAGTAGGTGTGTCCAAACTTTTGACGGGTAGTGTATATTTCTTGCTTACACGCAATCACCGATATTGCACTTTTATGAAGGTCCCTAAACCACCTGAGCTCCAGAAATCAGCATATCGCCTCCTTTTCGGCTCTGTTGCGGGAACAGTTCGACCATCGGTAAAAACAAAGGTTGTACCTTTCTCTCTACCATCATCTGATTCTAGATATATCACCACCATCATCCTAGGACCTTCCGTCGGAGAGCTATTGACGAGCGAACTCCGAATATTGAAAGTAAAAACGAATTTACTACGGTCGCTCGTCTAGCTAAATCAATCAATGTCAGATTTTGGTTTTCACCGAATCTCCATTTGGATATTTAATAACAATTAGGCTGGGGAAATATTAGCTAAATTAATGATCATCTTTATTTTAGTTTGCTCCCTTTATTTTAGTGCATTTGGGAAGTATTCAGACCCCTTGACTTTTTCCACATTTTGTTACGTTACAGCCTTATTCTAAAAATGGATTAAATCGTTTTTTCCCTCATCAATCTACACACAATACCCAATGACAAAGCAAAAACAAGTTCTGAATTTTTTGTTTAACACTTTTTTGGTTACTACATGATTCCATGATGTGTTATTTCATAATTTTGATGTCTTCACTATTATTCTACAATGTAACAAATAGTACAAATAAAGAAAAACCCTTGAATGTGTAGGTGTCCCAAAACTTTTGACTGGTACTATATATAGACGCAACCAAATGTGCATCTATCAATGACTCGAATGTCAATCATGTTAAAAGGTCCCTTTGATGTTCACCCATGGTGCCCATTTGGATATTTACAGGGCAGGGCTAGACAGCCTCGGCCATACCTCTCCTGTGACTCCGCCAGCTCCTTTATCTCAGTCTTTAAGGCCTTCAGTATTTCCTGATTCTCTTTCTTCTCCTGTTGGTCCTTCTTCACCTCCTCCTCCAGCTTCTGCTGGAACAAGCCCAGCTCTTTATGGGTGACCTGGAACACAAAACACTTTCAGTCACTGGGCAAAACATCATGGAGGTCTTCCGCCCACACTAAAACAGCACATTGTTTCAACTCCCTTCTTCCAGACAGAAGTAGGGTGAAGTGTTGCCCATAGACACTGATCTTGGGTCAGTTTTACATTACCCCACTAATGGTTAAGGTTAGGATTGGGGAAGCTGATACTAGATCTCTACCTAGGGAAACTTCACCCCGAGCCTTCCAGACACCAGTTTTGGAGAAACCCTTCCCTACCTGTATTGAATGGTTGATTTCCTCTTGCTCTCCTTCTAGGGCAGATATCTCCTTTTGGCGTCTTTGCTTCACAGCGCCGTAATCCTGCACCATTTGCTGGATCTGCTGTTCAAACTCTGCATTACTCTTCTCTTTCTTGTTCATGTCTCCCTGGAGCGTGGAAAACGGCATAATATCAAAAGCTCAATTTGATAGAGTACAATAATGTATTAGGTGCAAAGATAAAGGCTTATTAGGTATTCAAAACTCACATTATTCCCTTCAAAAGGCTCATAAGGCTCTGTGTTAACAGCCACTTCACTCAAGGTGTCACAAGTTAATACCTATACAAGAAGAAAAAAACACTAGACATTACACTTGGCCTTGTGATCGGTGATCTTAGAAACCTTCAAAATGAAGTGAGGACAATTCCCCACCTGTACTTCCACTGCAGTCTTTCCAGGTGCCTTGGCACCGCGAACGGGAGCATAAACAGCCTCCAACAATCCCTGTTCATCCACGTCTCTAATATCAAGGTCAAAATCCTCAAGGTTATCCGGATCATGGTTATTATATGACTTGTCCTCCGCTCTCAGAGTTTCAATGGCACCTGCTATTCCGTTGGCAGGTGGGGCAGCTTGAGAGCCAAAGGCAGGGAAAATATACGGGCTGGGGAGAGTGGGGATCCCTTGAAGATAGCCACAGACTTCAACCAGGTTAGGCTGCACATGAATGTTGGCAAAAGGCTCTTCATCATAATCCCTAGGTCCAGAGTCATGAGAGTTTGGGAGGAACTCCATAGCAGAAGGGTTTAGAGAGAGTCCATTGGGGATATCCCCTATGAAGTCCAGATCGTCCATTCTGTGAGTGTTGGCATCCTGCAGTGACACAGCGTGCTTCATGAGGCCCAGGAGGTTGTCAGTCCTGACGAAGCGCAGCGACTCGAGAAGGAAGGGCTCAAGGCCGCCTGCCTCCTGGATCTTCTGCTGGGCGTCAGAGGGGAAGTTGTTCAGCTCACCCACCAGCAAGGGGTCCTGGGCCCCTAGGGGACCGTACTCCTCCAGGATCTGGGCAAAGTAGCTGGGAGGAAAGACAGACTTACAGGTTATAGGAGCCAGAGTCCATACACATATGGATCAGCATGATATCTGAATACACAATGAAAACACAACCAATCCTTCAGGTCATTGCTTGGACTTGTGCATCCTCATGAGTCATTGATACAGGTTATAACACACACATTTATAGCAGACCAAGACCCTGTTGTCCAATACCCAAAGGAGAAATACCAGAGGCACTTACTCGTACAAACTCTCCTTAGTCGGGTCGGGGTTGTTGTCCAATATTCTATTGTAGTGGCTACTGCGGCTGCCATTGTTGTACTGTCCCTCAAACTCTGCCACCTGATTTCGAAGATGATCGGGAATGCTGAATGGGTCACTGGAGTCAAAGAACATTCTGCCGAGAAAAATGATGAGCTGGTGAGAACAAGCTGGGGGTTGTCAATGGGCAGACTTAATGAAGACAGTGTTCTACAGAATAGACAACTTACAAAGAGTCGTCTAAAAAATCCTCTTCGTCCTCCTCTCTTGAGGTACCACCTCTCATTCCCGACAGCACAATAACCGACTAAGAAACAGAAAATAAAATACAATTAGATTGATGTCCAGAAAACACACAATTGCCTACATTTCTCTAGGTTTAAGGCTGGAGTTACACAAAGCAATTTTCATGCAATTTTAGTTAAAGGTTGCAAGTGACATCTCAAAACAACTTTGCTGTTACATGAAGCAACTCAAACACAATTAAAATTGCATCCAACATCCAATCAAATTGAAGCTTCTATTTTGAGAATTCTAAACTCACCCCATGTGATCTGCTGCATTACATCATGGTTTCACAAATGAGTTGTTTATCCAACTGTTTGGTTATTCTAACAGCAAGGATATAGAAGAAATGCAGCCTGTACAACAGCTAACCAAGTTAGCAACGAACTAAGCTAGCTAGCACAGTTCATGGTGGACAATTTCAGTTGAAACTGGTTAGGGAGAGGTTTGGGTTCACTTCAAAATTACACTTATTGACTGCTAAACCATGTACAATAATTTGTATACATCTCCTGTTGTGCCAGTCTCTGTTCTGTCAACCCTGATCACGGGTTGTGCTGCACAGCACTGACAGCTGTGTTGACATGACAACTGGGTCAGAATTCCGAACCTTCGAATGGATCATGTGACAAAAGTGTTTGTTTTAATTAGCTGTTGCTTGCAACTAGTTGCAAAAATGTGAAGTTACAACTAGATGCAACCAAGTTGCAGGGGGGTGTTTCACGAAGCAATAAAGAAGCAATTCCGTTGCAAGCAACCTAAAATTGCATGCAAGTTGCATCGTGTAACAGCAGCCTAAGTCATAACGCTCACCCCCTTTGGCTCCTTCTGCTTCTTTTTGCGGTTTCTGTTCCTAGTCTTAATAGGGGAATTCTGAAATGAAATGAGGGTTTCGATTATTAGTATATTATGCCTTAGTTCAAACGCAACACTAAAAGACAAAGTTGGCTTAAAAAAAGTGTGGCATCCAATAATCAATACTTACAATTTCATTTTCAATCGCCGTCTTTTTAATCACTAAACAATCCCCATCTGAAAGATGTGGAAACAGTTAAGTTAATATGGCTGGAAACAGGAACCAAAACACAACAGCAGCAAAACGTACTCAAATTGTAGCTTCAAGGGCACCTTTCCCCTGGTAAGGAATGTGTGCGGGTCGAAACGCTTACCCATTATTTCAAAATAGTAATCCAGCACAGTGTGGCAGGTGGTGTACTGGTCTCTGTGCTCCTCCAGAGTCCAGATAAACAGCCTCATTTCCTGGGGAGGGGCCTGCTTTAGGTACTCCGTTAGAGTCAAGCCTCGGCTGCTAAAAAACTCAGGCATGGTCCCAAACTTCTCTATGAGCATGTCCTGCAGGGGGGCAAAATTTAGCAAAGGAGCGAGGTCGAGCTGCTCCAGGTGGTCTGCATAGCGGTCAATGAACAGTCCAGCTGAATTCAGACCTGGGGAGAACATCAGGGGAGGGAAGAGGAAAGGTGAAATGAGCCAAGATGGCACATAAAGCCATGCACATTTGTGTTGCTGCTGAGTACTTGAATATAACCAGTAATCTAGTGGTGAGAGGGTACACAGGTATGCAGCTGGAAGGTTGGCATTGCCCTTCAATACATAAGTTGAAGTCCTGATTAACAGGAAAAATGTAATGTGTGCTGACCTGCGCTGTTCAGTTGGTGGGCCCAGTTGTGCAGCTTGGGGCTGGTGTCCAGGCAGCCGCTCAGGCTATGGATAAATACGCGGGCCCACACCCGGTTCTTCCTTTCCAGGAGGAGCGCTACAACGTCCCCCAGCGTCTCCGGCTGCCTCCCAGCGTACGACGTGCCCAGCTCATTCCCCTTGATCCGGTCTAGGTCCATCCATGGCTTAAGGTTCTCCATCAGGACAGAGATGTTGTGGCTCTCGTCCCTGAATAGGTCTTTACTCTCACTGATCTGAAGCAGAACACGGTCCCCGTAAGCTAGCCAGGTGGGGGATGAAGCTGGAGAAGGGTGTTCAACAGTTAGGAACAGAAGGGTGTTTCCTCAGTTAGGAACTGAGGATAATGTGACTAAGAGAAGCTGTGGTGTGGTCAGGACAGCGTTTGGAATGTAACAGTGATGTGGATTGCATCATGCATTTATACTGAACAAAAATAAACGATTTTACAGAGTTACAGTTCATAAGGAAATCAGTCAATTGAAATAAATTCATTAGGCCCTAATCTATGCATTTCACATGACTGGGCAGGGGCGCAGTCATGGGTAGCATAGACCCACCTACTTGGGAGCCAGGCCCAGCCAATCAGAATATGTTTTTCCCCACAAATGGTCTTTATTACAGACATAAATATTCCTCAGTTTCATCAGCTGTCCGGGTGGCTGGTCTCAGACCATCCCGCAGCTGAAGAAGCCGGATGTGGAGGTCCTGGGCTGGCGTGGTTACACATGGTCTGTGGTTGTGAGCCCGGTTGGACGTACAGCCAAATTCTCTAAAACAACGTTGGAGGCAGCTTATGGTAGAGAAATGAACATTCAATTCTCTGGCAACAGCTCTGGTGGACATTCCTGCAGTCAGCATGCCAATTGCAAGCTCCCTTAAAACTTGAGACATCTGTGGCATGGTGTTGGGTGATAAAACTGCACAGTTTAGCATGGTCTTTTGTCCCCAGCACAGGGTGCACCTGTGTAATGAGCATGCTGTTTAATCAGCTTCACTAACAGGGAAGTAAACAAATTTGTGCACAAAATTTGAGAGAAATAAGATTTTGGGCATGTGGAACATTTCTGGGATCTTTTATTTCAGCTCATTAAAACATAGGACCAACACATTACATATATATTTATGTTCAGTGTTGTAGTCACACCCTTACATTCTTTAAGGGTGAGGTCATTGAAACAGGTTCCTTTGGAAAGGAACATGTTGAATGTACATCTGGTGGAATATAATAAATGTAAGATGTCTGTACCCTTCTGTCCAACGACAATTGTCTCCCCGTTCTCCAAAGGTATCTGATCATTCTTGTCTTGCGTAGACAAAGAAGCATCTTGCCTATGTTGCTTCCGCCTGAGTTTACGATCCTCTTTGGATTTCAACTTCTTGAGACTGGCAAACAAAATGAAAAACATTGAAAACCTACAGAAACAATTGTGATGGTGTAATAAGATGTGCTTGACATACAAATCGTGTTCAGTCTGTTCAGTGTGCAGTCTGATAAAATGATTTGGGTATGGACATTCAGAGAAACTTGAGTACAAAAATATTGGGTCAACTCACCTTGTACATTTCTGATTTACTCTCAATGTTGCTGTACCCACAAGTTTCTCAATAGATGCTTCAAACTAAAGACACAGAATAATACATTCATTAGAGTGTTCTCCAAATTGGCAATGACATTTAATAACGTGCCAACTTTAAAGAAATTCCTTACCTCACATTTGACAAGCCCTGTTGAACCATAGATTTTAATATGACAGATTCTACCCAAACAGTCTGGAGTAAAGCACATTTCCTGCAGGAAATCCTGTGGGTAAAAACAGACATGAGTATACCAGTGGCAAGAGTGACCTAAAATAAAATGGTGTGCACTTTAACGTTGTAAATAGGTGTTACCTTTTCATTCTTATCAGAGAATGCTGTTGCTTTCAACTTCTTCCAACAGCTGATATGGTACTCAACTTTGCAGCTTTGGCAGCAAACCATCCGAATGAAACCCTATGAGTAAAGACAGCCGTTTGAGTGCTTAGTGAACATGTTAGGTCTTTGACTTTCATGGAGACAACTTAGGTTTAACACATTTGACATTTACCTTAAAATCTGGATCTGTGAAGTAGATTTCTATTTTGGAATGTCCGTGGCAATTCTGATGCAGACAAATGGCATCTGGTTTAGGTGGAAATTTGCACATCTCTATGGATTCCTCTAGCAGCTCCTGGTTCAGGGTTAAAATAAAACAGAACAAAATCTAAATGACAGCAAGCAATGACACATTTCCTGCCTCATTTCAACAGTTGAGTTGACCCATACGAGATCAATGAAAACGTACCTTGAAATAGCCCGGCTTAGTTTCCTCAACAATAACTTTTGTGGTGGGCCAGGTCAGTTTACCAGGTGTTATCTTTTTCTTAACCATTTGCATAGAATCAGAAAACTGTTCCAGAGCAAGTGGAAATCTACAGGGGTGAAGGAAAAAACATTTGTCAGTATACCCAGTGATGTGCAGCTAATTTCAGAGTGATCTATAAGCATTATTCCATTCGTATCTACCGGTTCTCCTTCTGATACGCCTTTCCAATGCCGTAAAAAACCAGACACTGAAACTTCCTCTCTTCAAAGGTTTTGATCTTTTCAAAGTCTCTTTGAGCTTCAGCAAGTTCCTAAATAGGAAAAACCCATTAGTACAAAGCCTAACTGAGTGCACATTTTATTTGCAGACCATATCAAAAACACACTTGAAAAGCACAGTAACGTTAGCCTCCCTTCATAGCTAGCTATTACACAGAATGTTTCTTACCTCAGGTTGACCAATCTCTATGAGTGCTGAGGCATGGCCATAAATCAGCACAACTTGGTCAAGAGCACAGAGGCCAAGTTCCTGGAGAGGAGAAAAAAAATAGTTAATTAGCTGTTAGCTACCTTAGACAAAAGCTACACTACATGACCAACATTATATGGACACCTGCTCGAACATCTCATTCCAAAATCATTGGCATTAATATGGAATTGGTCCCCCCTGTGCTGCTATAACAGCCTCCACTCTTCTGGGAAGGCATTCCACTAGATGTTGGAACATTGCTGCGGGGACTTGCTTCCATTTCAGCCACAAGAGCATTAGTGAGGTTAGGCACTGATGTTGGGCGATTAGGCCTGGCTCGCAGTCGGCGTTCCAATTCATCCCAAAGATGTTTGATGGGGTTGAGGTCAGGGCTCTGTGCAGGCCAGTCAAGTTCTTCCATACCAATCTCGACAAACCATTTCTGTATGGACCTCGCTTTGTGCACGGGGGGCATTGTCATGCTGAAATAGGAAAGGGCCTTCCCCAAACTGTTGCCACAAAGTTGGAAGCACAGAATCGTCTAGAATGTCATTGTATGCTGTAGCGTTAAGAGTTCCCTTCACTGGAACTAAGGGGCCTAGCCCGAACGATGAAAAACAGCCCCAGACCATTATTCCTCCTCCACCAAATTTTACAGTTGGCATTATGCATTGGGGCAGGTAGAGTCAACTTGCTAATGCAACCGATACAGTATTTGAATCAGGCAATGTCACCTGGTTGGCTAGCCTAGGCAGCCGATAGTGGCCGCTAGATCTGCACGATCGTCTAGGATTGATGTGCATTCCCGATAATACATTAGTGTCCCCGTGGACCAGCTCGTACATAAAGCATCCTCCATTCAGGCTGCAAAGGCATAATTTTCCTCTGTACCATCTTCATAAAACAATTTCCACCACCATTTTCAGACAACTTAAGATGTTGCACACCGCGTTCAGCCAAGGGTGTAGCAACATCATAAATTGTCAGAAAATCAAAATGGTGGTGGAAAATTGTGTTTTATTAAGACAGTACACGTGTTTTTTCGGCAGCTCGCCATTAAAACCCATCAGTCTAAGCCTTGTCTAAACCGGGGGCGGTTCTACTAAGCTAAATGGAATTGTTTTAAGAAAGTCATACAAAGGATCATTGATTTTCTATTAAGACCCCTTGAAGTATCAAAAAATATCAACAATTATTTGATGAAAACGTACTTGGTCTTACTGCTATTAGCCCATACAAACTCATTGAATAACAGATTCACTACATGGAACAGATTGTCCCAAAAAAATATCAGAAGGAAGTTTGTTCTGAAGGGTCTCTCCTATATCTGAGAGAAAGATCAGGAAACATTTTTTTATATTTTTTAACCCCATATTTTTGCCATTAAACAGTCTCCATATATACTTATTATTTTCAACTGGTACCGGGGGACCTTCAAACTAGTCTTGTGAGGCCTGTGGGCGTCCTAGAGCAAACCAACCGACATGTACATGTTCGTGATAGTCTCACCTTTGCACAGATTAGTGTAGCCCAAACGGTTCGGACGCTACAGATGATTTTGTGAGAAGACGGCTTTTCGGGATATCTCATGGTCTGACAAAAACCGCTCTAGCTCTGTCACCTTTCACCGCAGATGCGGAAGTGCGACATAGGCGGAGGAATGAGACGCATCCAATGCAAAAAAGACAGATGTAGCTTAAACTGACAGATTTTTAAATGGGGATTTAAAAAGAAATGCTAATTAGATTTCCACGGGGGTGGACATCAATCTTAGGGGGTTAAAGCTAGTTAAGGAAGAAGCTGCCTAGGCTACTGGTTGGCAAGCTAGCAAATATAAGCAAACATGCTTGCAAGCTAGCAAGCTAGCTAAATTGCGTTGGTTAGCCATCTAAATTGTCAAGACTTTGTTGTGGCAACAACAACAAAACTCAGCTTCACAGAATGCTCACCATGGCTTCTCCTCCACATCTGAATGAGGTCTAGCAAGTGAGTGGGTGTCTCGCATGAGCAAGTCAACTGTCCTAAATGGTTTTGCTCGAAAACAAAGCCCAGGGGCGTATTCATTCTGCCAATTATGACCTACCTGAATTTGTCCAACAGAAACTCTCGTTTTGCTCCACTGTAAACGGTTTCTGTAATGAATACACCCCAGTTGTTATGCTGCACCCTTCCTATTGCATATCAATCGTTTTAGAACAACTACTCATTCAAGGGTTTTTCTTTATTTTTATTATTTTCTACATTGTAGAATAAGTGAAGATATCAAAACTATGAAATAACACATATGGAATCATGTAGTAACCAAAAAAAGTGTTAAACAAATCAAAATATTTTTTATATTTGAGATTCTTCAAATAGCCACCCTTTGCCTTGATGACAGCTTTGCACACTTGGCATTCTCTCAACCAGCTTCATGAGGTAGTCACCTGGAATGCATTTCAATTAACAGGTGTGCCTTCATAAAAGTTAATTTGTGGAATTTCTTCCCTTCTTAATGCGTTTGAGCCAATCAGTTGTGTTGTTACAAGGTAGGGGGGTATACAGAAGATAGCCCTATTTGGTAAAATACGAAGTCCATATTTTGGCAAGAACAGCTCAAATAAGCAAAGAGAAATGACAGTCCATCATTACTTTAAGACATAAAGGTCAGTCAATACAGAACATTTCAAGAACGATCAACCGCTATGATGAAACTGGCTCTTATGGAGGACCGCCACAGGAATGGAAGACTCAGAGTTACCTCTGCTGCAGAGGATAAGTTCATTAGAGTTACCAGCCTCAAAATTGCAGCCCAAATAAATGCTTCACAGAGTTCAAGTAACAGACACATCTCAACATCAACTGTTCAGAGGAGACTGTGTGAATCAGGCCTTCATGATCAAATTGCTGCAAAGAAACCACTACTAAAGGACACCAATAAGAAGAGACTTGCTTGGGCCAAGAAACACGAGCAATGGACATTAGACCGGTGGAAATTTGTCCTTTGGTCTCTAGTCCAAATTGGAGATTTTTGGTTCCAACCGCCGTGTCTTTATGAGATGCAGTGTTGGTGAACGGATGACCGCATGTGCATTTCCCACCGTAAAGCATGGAGGAGGTGGTGTTATGGTGTGGGGGTGCTTTGCTGGTGACAGTTCGTCAAATTTCTGCTCTGCTAGAGCTGCCCCGGTCAACTGTAAGTGCTGTTATTGTGAAGTGGAAACGTCTAGGAGCAACAACGGCTCAGCCGTGAAGTGGTAGGCCACACAAGCTCACAGAACGGGACCGCCGAGTGCTGAAGCGCGTAAAAATAGTCTGTCCTCGGTTGCAACACGCACTACTGACTTCCAAACTGCCTCTGGAAGCAACATCAGCACAAGAACGGTTTGTCTGGAGCTTCATGTGTTTCCATGGCCGAGCAGCCGCACACAAGCCTAAGATCACTATGTGCAATGCCAAGTGGTGTAAAGCTCGCCGCCATTGGACTCTGGAGCAGTGGAAATGCGTTCTCTGGAGTGATGAATCTTAACGCTACAGCATACAATGACATTCTAGATGATTCTGTGCTTCCAACTTTGTAGCAACAGTTTGGGGAAGGCCCTTTCCTGTTTCAGCAGGAGTTCCATACAGAAATGGTTTGTTGAGATTGGTGTGGAAGAACTTGACTGGCCTGCACAGAGCCCTGACCTCAACCACATCTAACACCTTTGGGATGAATTGGAACGCCGAGCCAGGCTTAAATCAGTGCCTGACCTCACTAAATGCTTGTGTTTGAATGGAAGCAAGTCCCCACAGCATATTAATGCCCATGATTTTGGAATGAGATGTTCGACGAGCAGGTGTCCACAAACACTACATGACCAAAAGTATCTTCTGAATGCTGTTGGGCCAATGACAACATCACCTGGGGTGCGCTCAGTTTGATTGAACGTTTGCTATGTTGCGTAACAGTTTGTACTGAAAGACACATTTCCCAAAAACATTCTTGAACAGACTGAGGTGTGGCAGGGTGTGGCTTGAAGCAGTGAGTGGGTTAGCGTTGATTGCACTTGATTTGGAACCGGGCTGCCTCCCGGCGTGAGCCGGTTGCACCGTTCTGGCCGACAGCAAAGTCGGCTCAAAACAAAAGTGACTTAGGTTAAGCACGTGGGGTATTGTATAGGATTCTGTGTTCACATGCAAAAGTGACACTATGTGCCTTCCCAATGAAAACGTCTGAAAATTCAAACATATGTTTCTGAACGATTCACCATGCTGTATTGATGACAATATGACCAAGCGGCATAGATTATAGTTTCATTTGAGCAGGGCGCGCCTTCCTCCGGCTTCGCCCGGTCACGTGACGACCATAGCCTGGTTCAACCCGGGGCAGCTTAAATCGAATCCCATCAATGAATGACATATTTAAAAAGGGGATATATGCAATTGCTACATCCATTTTTTTTTTTACTTAGAAATTATATGTACCCATTGATTCTTTAAGAATATAACTTATAAATGCCTCATGAGCTTAGTTCAGCTGGCATACCCCAACAGAACACAAAATATAACCTTGTTTTACTTCAATATTGGTAAAGAAAGTAGACGTAAACAAACACTATCACAGGACGCTGCTGAGGGGGGACAGCTCATAATAATGGCCAGAACAGAGCGCATGGAATGTCATCAAATACATGGAAACCATGTGTTTGAAGTATTTTATACCATTCCACTCCTGCCATTACCATGAGCCCATCCTCCACAATTAAGGTACCACCAACCTCCTGTGCACTATATAGCCTTAAAACATGTTTAAAACTATAATTTGGATATCTTGGACAGTCATTCCTTGCACCCTTGGCTCTGTCTATGAATTTGAGTGATTATATTTCTCCAGCCCCACCCCTCAGTTTTTTACCAAAACAGGGGCGGGGAACCTCTTATGGTTTCAACTCCTGATTCCCGCTTTAAAAGTGCAGCGGTGCATTTTGAACCCACAACCCCTCCTAGTTTTTCAACTGGAAGTTCAGAACTGCATCATTTCCAATTAATTGAACGTTACACTACGTTTCTTTCATACTGAACGCAGCCCTGAGGATGATCTCATTTTGGGAACCAATTAAACATCCGGTGAAAATAAAAGGGCAGTTTAAAACTACCACTGACAACCATTGCATTTGATAGAAAGTCATTTCACAGGCTAAAGAAAATTGGATGGAAGTGGAGTACAGTTTGAGCTGAAATTGCCCAACACCTCTGTGATAGTTTCACTGAGGGCTGATTGTGAGAGGGACACAGTTCTGTGCTGTACCTTTGGTGTGCTGGTCTCCAGGATGCTAAGGGCCTGGGAGAAGGCCTGCTCTGCATTGCGGCAGCGCTGGTCGGTCAGGGCCGTGTGGGCTTCCTGCACAGCTGACACCAGTGCATCCCGCACACTGGGGTCTCTGGAGCTGCCTGATACCGTCTGAGTGGGAAGGGATATCAGTGAGTCACTAATAACACACAAAGTTCTCTAAACAAACATGTAGGTGAAAACTACTTCTGTAGAAAAAAACAATTTAATGGGATGAATATACTATGTTTCAGAGCCAGGGAGGTGGTGGGTTAGACTCGCAGGAGGGGAGGCCACAGTACATTTTGATAATGAGATGCATGCCATTAGTACGGAGGAAAAGTTCAAAAGTTATGGCAAGAAATACAAGGCAGGAAATGCACCAGCATTTGTTTTGCGTTGTGAAACCAACTGAAATTCTGTTTGAGCTGTAACATGAGATCATTGCCACACGACGTGTCTACCTTTTCCTTTGACTGCTTGTTTCTGCTCTTCCCTTTCGATTTCTCTGAAGCGCTGGGCTCTGGCTTGCTGATCTTTTTATCAGCCATTTCACTGAAAAGAAACATAACTTTTAGGAGTTGAAAATGCTAACTTTCGCTGAGTAGCCTACTGTAGTCAATGGCACTGTACAAAAAACTTGACTGAATATCTCCAGTGTTACTTGCACAGATCTGTAGGCAGTTGGTGTACAACATGATTCAACAAGCACTGTCAAGCATTAACCAAGTTAGCAAGAACACACATACCACACACACGCACCCCACAAAACGTCTAATGTAAACTAACGCGTGTCTTACGTGCTTTTCCTATACACAATTTTAAAAAGAACACAACGATTCAGATTCTTGGTAGTGTTCAATAAAGCAGTTACGAAGTGAAACAGAAAATATCCATTGCTTCAGATAAAGCCTGCATTCTTTTTCCACTGCAGGGGTGGACCAAAACACTTAATTTGCCATCATACTGTTCATTAGTGTTGTCACGACACCATATATTTAAAAAATAAATCAGGTTTGGTATCACGATACAATACTCCGGCAAAAAAAAAAAGGCGTATTATTAGCCATAGTCATTTTTTAATGCATGCATTAATGAACCTATTTGGCTGTTTTTTTAACCAAAATACATAACGGTAATCATTCATTTGAATGGCAAATCTCTATTGATAAACTGGGTAAATTAAGTAGCATATGACTATTCACAATACAGGTGAAAGCATATTCAATAGGAATGTGTGCATGCATTGAGTTATTGAGCTTGTTTTGGCTGATTTCATGGGGCTACAGATGAGAAACAAATCTGCTTCCCTTCCATCTGGGACTTCTATTATACTGATCAACAATATTTACATAGAAGAAGCAATCTCTTTTATAAAAGTGTGCTCTCTCTTTAAGACCCATGATGTCATTCACACACCGTCAGTTCGAGGTTTGAACAAAGATAATCTGGAGGAGGCGGGGAGACTGAATAAAGTTGTGACAATCAGCTTTGAAATCTGAAATATTTTGAGTTATGATTAGCATATTATCAAAATTCAAGGTACTGAATTTATGTTAGCTTCAGCTGTAAGCTAGCATAGAAAGTTAGCCTACAAAGCTGGAACCTAGCGGTATCTTCTTACATTTTAAAGTGTTCTAGCCTGTAATGGAATTTATTTTGCCAAGAGTAATTAACAGTTTCAACATCCCGTGTTGCACTATTCAAGTGTGTTAACTTCTGTGCAGCATAAGTGGTGTCAGGGTTGGGTAGGTTACTTTCTAAATGTAATCTGTTACAGTTACCTGTTCGATTGTAAACGGTCATCTAACTTTTGGCTTACCCAAACTCAGTAACATGATTACTTTCCCCGTAAGAGGCATTAGAAGACAAAAACGAATATTACCAATTGAACGACATCTATTGCAGGATAAAATCAATGTTAGCGTTTACATAGCTGGCCATAAATGAATGTTGCATTTGACTCTTCTAACGCATTGCTTTCTACTACAAATACGATTAGGCTATATCTTTACATTAAAAACCTCTCAATCAGTAGATGACATGCAACCTCTGACAGAAGTACCGAACCATTTTATGTTCTAGTATCGAAAAAGTACTGAAGTTTCGGTATACCGTGCAACACCCTACTGTTCATATGCACCAACTTTACCACTAGTTGAACGGCATTGCTTTACGCCAAAGATACCCATTTGGGATCAATATACTGCAATAAATCGTTCTTCCCCACTCAACAGAAGACCTGGTCTGTTGGTCTGGCAGTGAGGTAAGCCTAATGTATTACAAACCCTGAAAAAAGATTGAACATAAAACTCACCCTTTCGTCTCTTTAGGCGCCTTGGTATTATTATCCACCGAATGTGCTCTTCCTGCACCTTTCACTAGGAAGAAAAGGGTTAGCTTCTGAAAACTCAGAGAAGAAAACATGATGCTCCCTGTGCAAAACCAGCAACTTGGCAAAGAAAGTGGTGGCATGTGCTCTTAAAGAGACAGCTCAAGGAAGTCAAAAACAACCAGAAGGTTATGATAGGCTGCAAGACAACAACTGGCTGAACTTGTTAGGTATTGACATAAGCAACTGACTTACAGTACCAGTCAGAAGTTTGGACACACATACTCATTCCAGGGTTTTCTTCATTTTTTACATTGTAGAATAATAGTGAAGACATCAAAACTATGAAATAACACATATTGAATCATGTAACACAATAAAAAGTGTTAAACAAATCAAAATATATTTTATATTTGAGATTCTTCAAATAGCCACCCTTTGCCTTGATGACAGCTTTGCACACTTGGCCCATTCTCTCAACCAGCTTCATGAGGTAGTCACCTGGAATGCATTTCAATTAACAGGTGTGCTTTCTTAAAAGTTAATTTGTGTAATTTCTTCCCTTCTGAATGCGTTTTGAGCCAATCAGTTGTGTTGTGACAAGGTACGGGTGGTATACAGAAGATAGCCCTATTTGGTAAAAGACCAAGTCCATATTATGGCAAGAACAGCTCAAATAAGCAAAGAGAAACAACAATCCATCATTACTTTAAAGACATGAAGGTCAGTCAATACGGAACATTTCAAGAACTTTGAAAGTTTCTTCAAGTGCAGTCACAAAAACCATCAGGCGGCATGATGAAATTGGCTCTCATGAGGACCGCCACAGGAAAGGAAGACCCAGAGTTACCTCTGCTGCAGAGCACAAGTTCCTTAGAGTTAAATGCACCTCAGATTGCAGCCCAAATAAATGCTTCACAGAGTTCAAGTAACAGACACATCTCAACATCAACTGTTCAGAGGAGACTGCGTGAATCAGGCATTCATGGTCGAATTGCTGCAAAGAAACCACTACTAAAGGACACCAATAAGAAGAAGAGACTTGCTCAGGCCAAGAAACACGAGCAGTGGAAATCTGTCCTTTAGTCTGATGAGTCCAAATGTGAGATTTTTGGATCCAACCGCCGTGTCTTTGTGAGAGACAGTGTAGGTGAACGGATGATCTCCGCATGTGTGGTTCCCACCGTGAAGCATGGAGGAGGTGGTGGGATGGTGCTTTGCTGGTGACACTGTCTGATTTATTTAGAATTCAAGGCACACTTAACCAGCATGGCTAACACAGCATTCTGCAGCGATACGCCATCACATCTGGTTTGCGCTTAGTGGGACTATCATTTGTTTTTCAACAGGACAATGACCCAACACACCTCCAGGCTGTGTAAAGGCTATTTGACCAAGAAGGAGAGTGATGGAGTGCTGCATCACATGACCTGGCATCCACAATCACCCAACCTCAACCCAATTGAGATGGTTTGGGATGCGTTGGACCGCAGAGTGAAGGAAATGCAGCCAACAAGTGCTCAGCATATGTGGGAACTCCTTCAAGACTGTTGGAAAAGCATTCCAGGTGAAGCTGGTTGAGAGAATGCCAAGAGTGTGCAAAGCTGTCATCAAGGCAAAGGGTGGCTATTTGAAGAACCTCAAATATAAAATACATTTTTGATTTGTTTAACATTGTTTTGGTTACTACATGATTTAATGTGTTATTTCATAGTTTTGATGTCTTCACTATTATTCTACAATGTAGAAAATTGTAAAAATAAAGAAAAACCCTTGAGTGAGTAGGTGTGTCCAAACTTTTGACTTGTACTGTATATCAAAAGCATCTCTAGAGGAACCTAAACATCTGCATTGTATTTAATGCATTGTTATGATGAGTTTCTCTGGTGTCAAGTAATTCAGGATGCAATAGTATACTTAAACAATTATATGGGTAGTTAATACAAAATATTTAATAGAGACAGTACCGGGTTCGTCTAACAAATGGCACATGCTTTGCCTCTTGTCATCCGAACTACTAGACAAAGAAAATCTATCTTCTTATAGTCCATGTTATATATTAAATAAATATATTATAAATAATATATATAAAAATTTTAAAAAATTTTGTAAAGTGGTTGTCCCACTGGCTATCATAAGGTGAATGCACCAATTTGTAAGTCGCTCTGGATAAGAGCGTCTGCTAAATGACGTAAATGTAATATTGCTTCCACAACATCTGGTAACCATCAGTTGGCACTCCCTTCTTTGATGGTATTAACTTGTACCCCAAGTCAGTATATTACATCTATCAATCATTCTAAGATAAACTTCAGTAAGCTCCCTCGACATACTGGAATCCTTGGTATTCAGACCTTGTGGTTCCCAAGAGTCACCTATCTAATAGATTTAACCTTGTTCCCACAACACCATAAAAAGACATAACATGCATAAAAACAAAAAAGCCAAACTATATTTGCTTCCATTTAAACTGAACAAAAAGAAACGCAACAACTCCAAAGATTTTGCTGAGTTACAGTTCATATAAGGAAATCAGTCAATTGAAATAAATTAATTTGGCCCTAATCTATGGATTTCACATGACTGGGCAGGGGCGCAGACATGGGTGGGCCTGGGAGGGCATAGGCCCACCCACTGGGGAGCCAGGCCCAGCCAATCAATGATTTTGTCCCCACAAAAGGGCTTTATTACAGACAAATACTCCTCAGCAGCCCCCCCCCCCCCTTTTAGTCCCCAGAACAAGGTGCACCTGTGTAATGATCATGCTATTTAATCAGCTTCTTGATATGCCATACCTGTCAGGTGGATGGATTATCTTGACAAAGGATAAAATGCTCAATGACTGGGATTTAAACAAATTTGTACACAACATTTGAGAGAAATATGCTTTTTGTGCATATGGAACATTTCTGGGATGTTTTTCAGCGCATGAAACATGGGACCAGCACTTTACATGTTGCGTTTATATTGTTGTTCAGTGCATTTCAACCCTAACAGAAGAGTTAATTTCTAGCAAATTAGAAATAGTAGCCAAAAACCTCTTACCTGGTTGTGTCTGGCTTTCCACCTTGACTTCTGAGCCCTGTGTTTGGTGACATGAAAAACAATTAAGAAATAAACAATTATTCCTAAAACATGGATGACAGACTGAACAAAAATAGAAAAACGCAATATGCAACAATTTCAACGATTTTACTGAGTTACAGTTCATATAAGGAACATCTGTGAATTTAAAATTCATTAGATCCTAATCTATGGATTTTATATGAGCTGCTGGATATTGACGGGAACTGGAACACGTCAATCTAGAGCATCCCAAACAAGCTCAATGGGTGACATAGGTCTGGTGAATATGCAGGCCATGGAAGAACTGGGACATTTTCAGCTTCCAGGAATTGTGTCCAGATCCTTGCGACATGGGGCTGTGCATTATCATGCTGAAACATGAGAAATGGCGGCGGATGAATAGCACGACAATGGGGCCTCAGGATCTCGTCACGGTATCTCTGTGCATTCAATTTGCCATCGATAAAATGCTATTGTTTTCGTAGCTTATGCCTGCCAATACCATAACCCCACCATGGGGCACTCTGTTCACAACGTTGACGTCAGCATACCACTCGCCCACACAACGCCATCTGCCTGGTACAGTTGAAACCGGGATTCATCCGTGAAGAGCACACTTCAACAGCGTGCCAGTGAGCATTTGCCCACTGAAGTTGTCGTAGAAATGTTATCAATATACTTATTAAAAATCAAAGTTCTTAAAGAGTTTTTGTAGAATCAAGATATACTTTATTACACAGAGCAACAAAAGCCGAGCTGATCTGCAGAGCAACTAACTCCCAATACTTGGCCCTCAGTTTATATACAATTTCCATTTCTGCTCATTTTACATACTTTTTAGCTTAAACCTTCCCAGTTCAGTTTCTCCACTATTGTTTCCAAACTTTCATATTTTGACTGCTCCGCCCACTCTATTTATGATAGTGGCGAAATCTGACTTCTCCTCCTATATATTCAGTTTGAAAACAATAGTGGCAGAACAAAGCTTTCTCATGTACAAAATAACAGAGCCATCTCCTGGCTCTGCTCTGTTTATTCTAAAACATATTTATCGATACTTAAATATAGTTTAAACATGGCAGGTCTATAACCAATTCTCGACTATATACATTTAAGACATTCCTAATGCAATGCCTCATACATAACAGTATATCAATCAAGAGCCATGTCCTGACTCTGGCTCCCTCCTTGTGTACCACACTCCGTATTCACTTAGTCGTACTGCTTGTCTTTATGATTAACTATGTTTTAATCTTTATAGTCTTAAAATATTTACTATGTTTAACCTATGGTCTGACCTTGTGTATCACTCGGTACAATGGCTCTGTATGGTCTACTGAAAAATACCCAACAAAGTCTGTTATGACGCCAAGCTGCAGTCAGGTCAAGACCCTGGTGAGGACGACGAGCACGCAGGCGTCCCTGAAATGATTTCTGACAGTTTGTGCAGAAATTCTTTGGTTGTGCAAACCCACATTTTCATCAGCTGTCTGGGTGGCTGGAGAAATGCTCACTAACAGGGATGTAAACAAATTTGTGCACCAAATTTGAGAGAACTAAGCTTTTTGTGCCTATGGAAAATGTCTGGGATCTTTTATTTCAGCTCATGAAACATGGGACCAACACTTTACATGTTGCATTTATATATTTGTTCAGTGCATTTGGTCTGCAAAACAGTCCTAACAGTATTACTCACAACAGGACTTATTTTGAAACATTACAATGTCCATGAGATGATGTCAATTCTATAGCTGATCAAACAGCTCATTGATCAGTGCACAACACAATCACCAGTTGCTGTACTTGAAACTACTCTTGGATTAAGTCCTGTTTGTACTCTGCAAGGACTTTTTTGTGGACAAAATGTGTCACCCTGAATGTAATTCATAGATTAGGGTACTGAAAGTTGAGGCTGAGGTCTGAGTAACTGACCTTGTTCTCAGGAGCAGTGTTTTTAGTGGAAGGCTCAACCTTACTGGTGGGTTTAGCAGTCTGTTGTTGTGACTCTGTTGTGTCTGCTCTGGTGGTACTCTCTGTTCTGTAGATAACAGTAAAAACACCAGGGTTACACAAATTCAAAATGATCCACAAATGCATGATTGCCATTGGTTCGTAAACACTATTGTACATACCTTCTACTTGAAACTTTCTTAGCTGCAGTTTTATTCAGTCTTCCAACTAGAAATGAATAGTTTATACACATGAAAAGAAACATCACAATCAAAGATATTACATACAGACTGAATGATCTAGCAAAACCAGACTAGATCTTTCAACAAACAATTCTAAACTTAGAACAATTTAGAGGAAAAACTGCTTTTGAGGAACAAGGAACAGAGCTGGTAAAACAACCACAACCTACCCAAGACTCAGATTACAAGAGTAATGAAAGGAAATACATACCGTAAACCAATGGCAGGACATTGTAGGCTACTTCTGTTTGACCACAACATAAACAAAGATGTTTCTCCTCCATATCTTCCCCCAAAGGAACTGAACTTAATGTCTTAATATGAAGGCACCCTCTGGGTAGGGTTAGGATTAGCCACCCCCACTTCCTACTATTGGTTATGCAAAAAATCTATGGCCACTGTCAGCATATGACAGAGGTGTATCGGTCTTCGCATGAAGAATGCACTGCAAATGGGATAAGCTCTGGTGAGGGTTTTTAACCGTCCCTCTGATTGGTCATGGTAATCGCTAGGAGTTTTACAAGGCGCCAAATTAGTCTTGGTAACCACAAGCCACATTTTACAATCACCCCCGAATTTATCCTAGTAATTCTTATGGTTTCCTACAAGATCAGCTGGTTTTAATATGAAGTTCAGTGGGTGAATTTCCCCGTTACCTTTGCGTTCCTCTGCCTGGTGGCGCTTGCTCTCCTCGATCTCTATGTTGAACTTGGCATATTGCTGCAGCAGGTCCTTCATGCCCTCTGAGTCAGCCTTGCACAGGGTCTGGCCCCACTCGTTGGCCTCTATCGCCCGCTTGTGTTCCCCCAGGAGGAACAGCGCCTCACAGTACCGGTAGTGACCCTGCCATACACAGACCACAGGGGAGGGGAAGATACCATAATTCACAGCCATACAGACATCTTTTTAGGAATGTTGGTACTTTGGGCATTAACATTCCATTACAATCACGCCACATATCCTTTTTGTAGAGTGTTGAGGCATCTCACACTGAAAAAAACATTTCGATTTCAGTTCAATAGAACTAGCTAGCTTGTCAGTCAATCAGAACAAAGAGCTCATTAAAATGTATTCATTTCACCACCATCAGTGGGTTTGATCCTCAGAAATTTCTGATAAACCTTGCTTAAAGGGATAGTTCGGGATTTTGGCAACGAAGCCCTTTATCTACTTCCCCAGGGTCAGATGAATTTGTGGATACCATTTTTATGTCTCTGCGTTTGAAGGAAGTTGCCAACTAGCTTTAGCAGAATTGCTAACTAGCATTAGCATGACTGGAAGTCTATGGGAACAGCTAGCATACGCAGAGACAAAAATGGTATCCACGAGTTCATCTGACTCTGAGGAAGTAGATAAATCCTGAAATATCCCTTTAAGCTGAGGGCAATCGCACTGGAAATTCAGATGTGACTGGGAGAATTACATTTACATTTGCGTCATTTAGCAGACGCTCTTATCCAGAGCGACTTACAAATTGCTTACCTTTGCCCACTCTGGTTGTATTAAAGTGGCTCGTTTTCCATCACCAACAGCTTTTCTGTAACAACAAATAATGCCTTTGATCAGTAAACATGTTTAACGGGTCTGTGTAACAGTGTCCTACACAAACAGGTTTGTTTATAGTTTGTGAAGGACTTACAGATATTTTTCACTACGGATATAGCAAAGCGCTCGGTTCCCATAGATAATGTGGTTTTCAGGGCTGAAAAATAGATAGGATTATGTTATCAAACAATAATGAATTCAATGACATACAAATAAAGATTATTTATGAGTAGTCAAAGTATCCCATTCTGGTCCATTTTGACAGACAAAATGGGAAAGAAAGTCGTGATAGAGGTCAAGTAGTGTTTACACTTCAGAGACATTTATGGTGCCATAAATTGACATGTTCAGCAGGGTGTTAGTCACTTGAATAAAACACATGGATACCCCATGAAATCAAAGGTACCTTGACACCAGGGACAATAACACATTGGGAAGAGGTAATGCACAGATAATCAGAGAACATGGGAAACTGCCTGACTTGTTATATTGTCCTCAAACATACAAATAGTATGTAAATCAGATGTTAAAACCACTAAAAAATACAACTTACTGATATTTGATGGCTTTTGAGTAACACTTGACTGCTGCATCATATTTCTTTTTCTGAAATTGATCATTTCCTCTAGTCTTCATCTCTTCACTTTTCTGAGCAAATAAGGAGGGGGAAAAAAGTTTACAAAATCCTAATAGAAAACACGTCAACAGAATGAATGTAATGTAAATCCAGAGATAGGTTAGTGTAAATCATATCTATCAACTTAGTTAATCACAAAAATACATTATCTGCTGTACTGTACATCTTCTAAAACATTATCAGGGGTTGGATCCGGTTCAGGGAATAGAACAGAAAACTGGAAAATAACAAAATTGTTGAAGGAATATAAATGGAAAGAAAGTGATCCATACCGTTCCGGAACGTCGCCGTTATTTTAAAAGCATGGGAACCGGTTAATAAAGTTATTTTACGTTCCAGGAATTTTTTTCTAGTCCCACAACACACCTTAACAAAGTGCCTATGCAAAGCCCTCACTCGGTTACTCAGAAACTTATTCCAGGATCTGCCTGCAAAATGAAAACCTTTGCCTGTGCATGTTTAGGCTACCTGCCCCTCCCAAAGAATAGACTACTGTGCTGACGTTACAAGCTTGATTCAGAAGATAGATTTTTAATTAGCTACAGAAGAATGGATTAACTTTTTCAATGCTAGTTAAGGATTCTATAGACCTAGTTATCACATTTCACGTTGGATTTATTAACAACAAAAAACATATTTTTTTATTCTGGTGCCACTCTGCACACAAGCTTGTTAGCTAGCTCAAAGGAAATGCAAAGTTCCTCTATAGAAGCCACTCTTCCTAGGTATAATTTTGTGGACGTAATTTAGATAATGCATGTCATAACAAGATTCCCAGCGCTTCAACCCTCCTCAACCCTCTCTCGCTCTCTCTCTCTCCCCACCCACATAATAAAATAAATATGTTATTTCACAGGCTAAAAAAAGGAACAATATAAACAGTACTTTTTTGGTTCGAACCGGTTCAGAACATTATTTGCTGATCGGAACAAATTGTGGTTCTGTTCAGAAATGTTGGTTCCAACCGAATTACTACAATCGTCACCATCTTTACATAAAATAAGGAGAGGGCATTGGGTCCTTAAAGGATGACAAATTATGATAAATTACAGGGGTTTTTTTCTTACCTCAATAGACCATTGGCAGGGGCCCTGTGCAAGCTCTCGCATCATTTTTTTTCTGTTGACTCCCATAGCCTGTGTATAGTGGGAATCTGATGAGAGAAGAAGTTCATGTTCGTATTGGGACCCATTCACTGTTAACCAAGTAGCCAGAGCAGGATAAACCATGTCATATTTTATTCCCAGTAACCTGTCAAACCTCTAAACTCTAGCCCAATGGATTCAAAGTCGGGATCACAAGGGAATTGCAGTGGGGGTCACCAAATAAAATACAAATTGTATTTTTGTTTTTTTTTGGGGGGGGGGGGGCAAACAGTTAAGAATACAGATTGTATGGGACAATATACAAACATTTCAGAAATAACCTCAGGTATTTATTGGTTCTTAATTTTGATTACAAAAATTACATGTAATGAATTGAACGTTATTTGATTTAAAAAAATATGAATTGGTAATCAGCTGAAAAAGTTTGAATACCACTGCTCTAACATATCTACCATGTTTTACCTTTCAGCCTCTAAGCTACCTACCACTAAGCCCTGAATGGGTATAAGATCTAGTGTGAGAAGGCTGTAAAAACACATCGTTATGAGGCTTACACAGACAGTATATCATCAGACCACCATATTAACAGCAATGGAGGACACACTGCCTGACTGAGTGGTTCTTACACTCAGTGAAGATGAGCTGCAGGGCGGCAAAGCAGTTCCCTCTGGGGCCCAGCTCCTCAACCCGCTGCTTGATGCGGGGCTCTCCTGTCCGCTCCAGCCAGTGTATCGCTTCGTCCAGGACCTCTGGCACATGCTGCCACAGAGTTACCAGTCAACAAAACACATTTTAGTCTTAACCATCCTCCCAATAATTATTAACTTGTATAGCGCTTTTTACTACAGAAAATAAATTCAAAGCACATAAAACATGTTTGTTTTTTTAAATTGAGATGGTACAGATGGAGATTGAACGTCTCCATTTTGGCTTCGGATGAAAGGGTGGGGGTTGAGGCAGTTTGTATTGGAAAGGCAGTGTAGCTTCAGCGGAGGGGGCATCGATGGTACAGCCTGAGAGAGACAAAGTCTGACAACAGGCCCGGGCCGCTTCATCAGTGTACCACTTCCGCTTCTCCGACAGTCAGTTCCTCCATAGGACCCACTCTTCCGTAGGTACTGGTCCTCACCTGGGTGATGCCACGGCTGCTGAAAAGCCACCACATCTTGGCAGTGGGCAGCAGGTAGCTTAGTGGTTAAGAGCGTTGTGCCAGTAACCGAAAGGTCGCTGGTTCTAATCCCCGAGCCGACTAGGTGAAAAATCTGTCGATGTGCCCTTGAGCAAGGCACTTAACCCTAATTGCTCCTGTAAGTCGCTCTGGATAAGAGCGTCTGCTAAATGACTAAAATGTAAAAATGTAAACGGTTAAGAACAGTTCCTGAGCATCTTCTGCAATCTCTGGACACAGCATGCAGTACTTACTGCAATTCTTCCCGACAAATTAAACAAATCCGGGGCTGCATTATTTGAATCCAAACAACCATCCAGCTTGCTAGCTATAAGCCAAAAAATATATACTTTTCATCCCGATTCTGCAACTGAGTCAAGACCAAAAAAACCTAAATATATATAATTGTGTACAATATTTACAGAGCTCTCTGCCTAGGCGACTCCACGGCAACCATAAGACAATACACCAAATCGGCAATGGGTGGGAAGATAATGCGCACCAGGTTGCTAGATATTCCATGCGACAAATCAGGTTGAGGGTGACTTATAACCGGTGCCCCTGCACATTGACTCTGTACCAGTACCCCCTGTATATAGCCTCGCTACTGTTATTTTAATGCTTTTATTTTTTACTTACAGTTGTCGGAAGTTTACATACACCTTAGCCAAATACATTTAAACTCAGTTTTTCACAATTCCTGACATTTAATCCTAGTAAAAATTCCCTGACTTAGGTCAGTTAGGATCACCACTTTATTTTAAGAATGTGAAATGTTAGAATAATAGTAGGGAGAATAATTTATTTCAGCTTTTATTTCTTTCATCACATTCCCAGTGGGTCAGAAGTTCACATACACTGAATAGTATTTGGTAGCATTGCCTTTAAATTGCTTAACTTGGGTCAAACGTTTTGGGTAGCCTTCCACAAGCTTCCCACAATAAGTTGGGTGAATTTTGGCCCATTCCTCCTGACAGAGCTGGTGTAACTGAGTCAGGTTTGTAGGCCTCCTTGCTCACACATGCTTTTTCAGTTCTGCCCACAAATCTTCTATAGGATTGAGGTCAGGGCTTTGTGATGGCCACTCCAATACCTTGACTTTGTTGTCCTTAAGCCATTTTGCCACAACTTTGGAAGTATGCTTGGGGTCATTGTCCATTTGGAAGACCCATTTGCGACCAAGCTTTAACTTCCTGACTGAGGTCTTGAGCTGTTGCTTTAATATATCCACATAATTTTCCTTCCTCATGATGCCATCTATTTTGTGAATTGCACCCGTCCCTCCTGCAGCAAAGCACCCCCACAGCATGATGCTGCCACCCCCATGCTTCACGGTTGGGATGGTGTTCTTCGGCTTACAAGCCACCCCCTTTTTCCTCCAAACATAACGATGGTCATTATGGCCGAACAGTTCTATTTTTGTGTCATCAGACCAGAGGACATTTCTCCAAAAAGTACGATCTTTGTCCCCATGTGCAGTTGCAAACCGTAGTCTGGCTTTTTATGGCGGTTTTGGAGCAGTGGCTTCTTCCTTGCTGAGCGGCCTTTGAGGTTATGTCGATATAGGACTCGTTTTACTGTGGATATAGATACTTTTGTACCCGTTTCCTCCAGCATCTTCACAAGGTCCTTTGCTGTTGTTCTGGGAATGATTTGCACTTTTCGCACCAAAGTACGTTCATCTCTAGGAGACAGAACGCGTCTCCTTCCTGAACGGTATGACCGCTGCGTGGTCCCATGGTGTTTATAGTTGCGTACTATTGTTTGTACCGTTTTCTGAGGTCTTAGCTGATTTCTTTTGATTTTCCCATGATGTCAAGCAAATAGGCACTGAGTTTGAAGGTAGGCCTTGAAATACATCCACAGGTACACCTCCAATTGACTCAAATGATGTCAATTAGCCTATCAGAAGCTTCTAAAGCCATGACATCATTTTCTGGAATTTTCCAAGCTGTTTAAAGGCACAGTCAACTTAGTGTATGTAAACTTCTGACCCACTGGAATTGTGATACAGTGAATTATAACTTAAATAATCTGTCTGTAAACAATTGTTGGAAAAATGACTTGTGTCATGCACAAAGTAGATTTCCTAACCGACTTGCCAAAACTATAGTTTGTTAACAAGACATTTGTGGAGTGGTTGAAAAACGAGTTTTAATGACTCCGACCTAAGTGTATGTAAACTTTCGACTTCAACTGTATCTATTGTTTACTTAACACTTATTTTTCTTAAAACGGCATTGTTGGTTAAGGGCTTGTAAGTAAGCATTTCACTGTAAGGTCTACACCTGTTGTATTCGGCGCATGTGACAAATCAAATTTGATAATGCAATCAGCGATTCACATTTAAGACCACCAAACAGGACGTTTCTGTTTCCTTTGCTTGGCTATGTACCAGCAGGGTGTAAATAGATTCCTGAGTTCTTAAAACAATGAATATTGGCACCCCACTCTGTGGCTGCCTCACAAACACTAAGTAGCATGTTGCCCCATTTTCCAGGCATGAAGAGCACATTATTGTTTTCTTATGAATAACTACTGTGCTGAGTGGATACTTCAACATTAGAAAATAGAGAAGACACCATGTTGCTCAAACATTTTTGTAAGATATGAGCAAGAGAAAGCACTGAAAATGTATCATATTTTCATTTTCAATGCGGCATAGGCATGCATTACACTTACCAAGTTAAATTTATTGCTTATCCAGATCATATGCCTTGTTTGATCTTCTAATAACTGGAAGAGAAAACAAGTGACAACATGAGCATTCTCAGATTCAACACTGCAATTCCTGTATGGTTCAATTTTGATTTTAACAAGGAACGTACACATCCTTTTTCCATCGCTCTGAGGATAGCTTCCAATATTTCTATCTTGTGCAGTCTCTTCAGACTCAAGTCATTGCTGACGCTAGAGAAAGTGAAAATAAAAAAAAGTGGGCATTAACACTCTGTACTAAGGAATGACAAATGTGAGGCAGGGGAGTTACAATTAGTTTGCAAGTCATTGTTCTTACTTTGAGTCTAGGAAGCCCACTTGAACAGCCCAGCGTGTGGTGTTGTGATTCTCTTGACGCAGCAGAATGTGGTACCAAAAGGCACACAATTGCATCAACTGGGCCGCCTTCTTTTTCAAAATGACAGGGATTTTATTCCATCGCTCATATATAACATCTGCAACATAAAACACAGAATGTGTTTACAAATGAAAATTTAAGTTATTTTTTCCATTTAATCTTCAATCACACATCAACCTCCACCTTGAAAATATGTTTGTACTCTCTGATAGTGGAGGGTCTGGATCACTCCTGTCCACTCCCAATACCCATTTCCAACCACAGTGAGTGTGTGTCAGTACTAGCTAGCTAGGTATTTATGTGTAAGGAACTAGTTAGTGTTCTCAAAATCAAATCGTATTGGTCACATACACATGTTTAGCAGATGTTCTACTTCTTACCTGGAGGTTGTAGGGCTACAAAGGGACTGTCTATGTCATAGATCTGGTGAAGAAAACGATGTTAATAATATAATGACGTACTGCTACATTATATTTATTACATTGTCTATTTTCAAATGTATCTAGTAAGCTCTCCTGCCCTAAATTACTTCACTATTTCAAATGACAGTCAACCATCCTTGTTACTCACAAGTTTCGCCCCGTGTCTGATGTCGCAGTCCACAAACTCTGGACCGGAGTCTGAATCTGACATTTTGGGAAGTCTGAAACAACCAAACTAAATCATACAGATTTAGTCCAGTGACAATACACACTAAATGTTAACTAGTTAGATAACATTAAATGATCTAGCTACCTAAGTTATATCAACAAACTAGCCAACTAGCTAATGCTAACTAGCTAATGCTAACTAGCTAATGCTAACTAGCTAATGCTAACTAGCTAGTACTACTCAACGAACGTGTACCAAGTTAACGTACCACATGACGGGGCTAAAACAGGCTAACTAGGTAGCTATGTTTGGAGATGGCTAACGACGTTAGTAACGTTACGTTACGTTAGTTAACTAAACCAAAATGATAGCTAGTTCCGCGTTCAAATAACTTGGCTAACAAACGTTACAACTCAATTGTGTTTCCTAACAAAAGTATAGATGAATAGATAGCGAAGTTATATATCCATCTAATAGTGAATCATTGTTTGGTTAGCTAACTGTGGGGGGGGCATCTGGCTGACTGCAAGGACCCTCGAACTCACCTTGAAAGTTAGCTAACGTTAAGCAATCGTTTGGCTAGCTAGCAACTTCGCGCAATTCTTACCTGTCTTTGCAGCGGAAAAAAAACATTTAGCTACCTCGAGCGTGAAGCACAGTTACACAAGCTACAAAAAAAGAATGTACAGCATACACCAACCTGCCTTTCTTGTTCTCTTCCTAAAATAATTTTCACTTGTATTTTATGGCGACATGCTCAGTTTACCACAGGTCAGGCGTTGCTGGCATTGTGAACATTGTGACATGAATGTCACGTCAACATACATGCGGCAACATTTCAAAATAAAAGTCTCACTGATTTTTATTTTACTTGACTCCTACAGGACGTTTTTCTGATTTAAAATCACAATAATAGTTTAAAGGGACAAACATACACGTATTGAAAAATATAATTTATTAGTGAAATCAATTAACAAAGATCGTTTTACTGTCTCATTTTTTATTTATTTTTACTACTACACCAGTTAAGAGTTGTAGTTTCAAAAAAAAAAAAACAATACCAACACTGTTGCTGGAAGTATTAATGGTTTTGAACTACTGTCAACTCTTAACTGGTGTATTGCGTGATTTTAGGCATGCTCTCTCTCAGTGGCGACGTGTCATTCAGGGCAGGTGGGGCTGCCCCACCATTGTTGTTTTTTCTTCTTCTGTTTTGCATGTTATTTTGGCATTAATACATGACACATATCAGTTTGCCAACAATGTCTCCCGAGTGGCGCAGTGGTCTAAGGCACTGCATCGCAGTGCTAGCTGTGCCACTAGAGATCCTGGTTCGAATCCAGGCTCTGTCGTAGCTGGCTGTGACCGGGAGACCCATGGGGCGGCGCACAGTTGGCCCAGCGTCGTCTAGGGTAGGGGAGGGAATGGCCGGCAGGGATGTAGCTCAGTTGGTAGAGCATGGTGTTTGCAAAGAGCCAGGGTTGTGGGTTTGATTCCCACCGGGGTATGAAAATAGTATAAAAAATATCATGTATGCACTCACTAACTGTAAGTCGCTCTGGATAAGAGCGTCTGCTAAATGACTAAAATGTAAAAAAAAAGTCATTGACTTAATAAAGCCGCATACAAACATGGTCTCTTTTTTGCTAATCTTGAGTAAGGCAGCTCCAAAATGCAGGTGTTTCAGCCTAGCTCAGTGCTTTCTGTAGTGGGGCAGCCAGCGGAAAATACGGAGCGTAGGGGCTGGTAATGTTCTCTAGTTGCGCCGTGATTGGCTCAGTGTTCTGTCACTCATGGGGACACTACGTCACCGCAAAATCTACGGGTAGAGATCGAAAATTCAAGCCCCTTGGGTGCTGCCATAGACTTACATTAGAAGTGCCCATCCAAGAAGGCTCAAGGTCATTGGCCACAGATAAAGTGATGTAAAATCATGTTATATCTACCTTAGCTTTAATTGGACTGATCATGTCAACATCATACTTTCTAAATCTTAGCTAGCAAGCTAGACAAGCAGTCATCATCATGCATCAAGTCGGCAATCTACTGGCAAATCCTTTTTAAATCCTTGTCATATGAAGAGAAATTATAGATAAAACGTATCGGTGCTCATCGGCCATTGGACATAAACATTACACAACAAGTTGGAAATCGCAAATTCAACAATGAGTGCTAAGGCACCACTGCAGCCCAGGATTCGATACCAGGCTGTGTCACAGCCGGCCGTGACCAGGAGACCCATAGGACGGCGCACAATTGGCCCAGCGTCGTCCGGGTTAGGGGAGGGTTTGGCCGGCCGGGATGTCCTTATCTCATCGTGCTCTAGTGACTCCTTGTGGCGGGCCGGTCGGTCAACTTCGGTCGTCAGTTCGACAGTGTTTCTTCTGACACATTGGTGCGGCTGGCTTCCGGGTGAAGCGAGCAGTGTGTCAAGAAGCAGCGCGGCAGCATGGTTCTCGACCTTCGCCGAGTCCGTAGGGGAATTGCAGCAATGAGACAAGATCGTAACTACCAATTGGATATCACGAAAAAGGGGGTTATGCCATGGGCCACAAAAGTTTGAATACATTGGCCATGCTGTCAATCCAGAATGACTTCTGCCACGTTCAAAACAACTGGAAACTCGGATCTGGGAAATCTAAGACTTCAGTGAGTTCAAGACAACTGGGAACTCAGATAAAACTAGCTCCGACTGGGAAAATAATTTTGAACGGTCATCCAACTCTGAATTCCAAGTCGGGATTTTGGGCCTCTTTCTAGAGACCACAAGAAGGACCGCTGCGCCACCTTCCTGTTCAAGTGAGCACAGCACAACAAGGTGAGTCCAGAAATGTATTGTATGCTGCTGCATAAATGATGTAATATGCCAGGGAGATATGTATACTGGAGCTAAGAAAGTAATACTAAGTGTATGTTGTGTAGTAAGCTGTTAGTAGCCCATGTGCCTCACTCTAATAATTTGCTCCCTTTTCACCTCATAACTTAGCCTACTGTTGACTTGGTGGTGCACATTTAGCTTATAGCCTGTTCTAGAGAAATGTCATCATCGAATATTGTAAGAGCTTTCATTGTCTGCTTATATGCCCCCTTTATTTATCCTATGGTTCTGACTTGGTGTACAGGGAGAATACTGTAAGAACGGCCCATGTTCTGAATTCTGTCGCCGTACATTTCAAAAGGGCTGAACAAATAGTTATATTGACTACGTCCGTCCTAGCTCGCTCATTAATGTCTTAATCGAAATTACGGATTGCCTCTTATCCGCTTGTCATCCCCTTATGCCATAGTTTGTACATCTCAAATGTGAGTAGAAACCACATTTGATTAAGCAAGTCAGCCATATCAGCTATGTTTTTTTAAAAGGCAGTAAATGAGGCTGAATTAACTGTTTCGCTGCCAGACAAGGCTCCGCTGATCGCCAGGTGTAGCAGTGGTAAGGTGTTGGGACTCTAACAGTTTGTCGGCATCGTTTGGCACCCTTATAGTGCAATTAATGTATTGTTTAGTGTTGTGTAGTGGCTATGCTGGCATGCATCTAAAATAAATGTGGGGAGTTTGCCCCACCAAGATTTACATGCTAAAATCGCCACTGCTTTCTCTAATTCCCCTCTATCGCTCTCTTTCTCTCTATGTCTCCCCTCCCGGAGGACCTGAGCCCGACCATGCCTCAGGACTACCTGGCCTGACGACTCCTGGCTGTCTCTGTCACCAGTCCACCCGCGGTTGTACTGCTGATCCAGTTCTGTTGTTCTGCCTGCAGCTGTGGACACCTGACCTGATTCACCGGGCATGCTACCTTGTTTCGGACCTGCTGTTTCAACCCCTTCTCTCTCTCTCTCTCTCGGACCTGCTGTTTCGACCTCTGAGTGCCTGGTTATGAAAAGCCAACTGACATTGACTCCGGAGGTATTGAACTATTCCACCCTCTATAGCCACTATGGTTATTACTTGACCTTGCTAGTAATCCACACTGAACAAAAATATAAACACAACATGCAACAATATCAGAGATTTTACTGAGTTACATTTCATTTAAGGAAATCAGTCAATTGAAATAAATTAATGGATAAAAGTGTCTGCTAAATGGCATATACAGTTGAAGTCGGAAGTTTACATACACCTTAGCCAAATACATTTAAACTCAGTTTTTCACAATTCCTGACATTTAATCCTAGTAAAAATTCCCTGTCTTCAGTCAGTTAGTGTTATGTCATTTCATAGTGTTGTGGGAACCAGGTTAACTTTAGTAGATAAGTGATTCTGGGTGCCGCACAGTCTGAATACCAAGGATTCCATTATGTCGAGGGAGCTTACTGAGGTTTATCTTAGAATGATTGATGGACATGATATACTGACTTGGGGTACAAGGTAATAACATCAAAGAAGGGAGTGCCCACTGATGGTTAACAGATGTTGTTGAAGAAACGTGTAACATGACGTATATAAACTGAGAGGTTTTCTTTGTCTGGTAGTTCGGATGACAAGAGGCAAAGCATGCGCCTTTTGTTAGACGAACCCGGTACCAAATCTATTAATTATTTCTATGAACTCTCCATCTAAGTGTTAAATATCTTCTTGCATCATGAATGACTTGATACCCGAGAAACTCATCATAACAGTTAGGATCACCACTTTATTTTAAGAATGTGAAATGTCAGAATAATAGTAGAGAGAATTATTTATTTCAGCTTTTATTTCTTTCATCACATTCCCAGTGGGTCAGAAATGTACATACACTCAATTAGTATTTGGTAGCATTGCCTTTAAATTGTTTAACTTGGGTCAAATGTTCCGGGTAGCCTTCCACAAGGTTCCCACAATAAGTTGGGTGAATTTTTGCCCATTCCTCCTGACAGAGCTGGTGTAACTGAGTCAGGTTTGTAGGCCTCCTTGCTCGCACACGCTTTTTCAGTTCTGCCCACAAATTTTGTATAGGATTGAGGTCAGGGCTTTATGATGGCCACTCCAATACCTTGACTTTGTTGTCCTTAAGCCATTTTGCCACAACTTTGGAAGTATGCTTGGGGTCATTGTCCATTTGGAAGACCCATTTGCGACCAAGCTTTAACTTCCTGACTGATGTCTTGAGATGTTGCTTTAATATATCCACATAATTTTCCATCCTCATGATGCCGTCTATTTTGTGAAGTGCACCAGTCCCTCCTGCAGCAAAGCACCCCCACAGCAAGATGCTGTCACCCCCATGCTTCACGGTTGGGATGGTGTTCTTCGGCTTGCAAGGCATCCCCTTTTTCCTCCAAACATAACGATGGCTATTATGGCCAAACAGTTCTATTTTTGTTTCATCAGACCAGAGGACTATGATCTTTGTCCCCATGTGCAGTTGCAAACCGTAGTCTGGCTTTTCTATGGCGGTTTTGGAGCAGTGGCTTCTTCCTTGCTGAGCGGAAGAAGGACTCGGTTTACTGTAGATATAGATACTTTTGTACCTGTTTCCTCCAGCATCTTCACAAGGTCCTTTGCTGTTGTTTTGGAATTGATTTGCACTTTTCGCACCAAAGTACGTTCATCTCTAGGAGACAGAACGTGTCTCCTTCCTAAGCGGTATGACCGCTGCGTGGTCCCATGGTGTTTATACTTGCATATTATTGTTTGTACAGATGAACGTGGTACCCTCAGGCGTTTGGAAATTGCTCCCAAGGATGAACCAGACTTGTGGAGGTCTAAATTTTTTTTCTGAGGTCTTGGCTGATTTCTTTTGATTTTCCCATGATGTCAAGCAAAGAGGCACTGAGTTTGAAGGAAGGCCTTGAAATACATCCACAGGTAAATATAATTAATTAATATGC